TTTTCAAACTGTCATAGAAATTTGTACAGGATTATTCCAAGATAGTAGCTCCCCTCATAGCTTTAATTAAAAATGGTGCCAACACTAAGGAGTGGACTTCACGTGCACACACTGCTTTTGAAAAAACGTAAAACAGCCTTTACTTGTGCTCCTATATTTACCCATCTTGACTCTACATTGCAGTGCATACTGGGCCAGTGAGGTACCTCTGGCGCGGCTTGTGCATATGCCAGAACTGTCACTCTCAGATCCATGTCCTCAAGCAGCACTGTGTTTTGGCTTTAAGACCCTCTGTGCCCCAATTCTTGGCGCAAAGATGCGTGCATCGTCACAGATGTTATGCACACATGTTCCGAAGTTACATGACATCGGAGATCCTGTCCTCAGCCTCGGAGGACTATTTAAGCTCATTTGAATTTTTTATTAGTGTACTTTAGTAGTTTCCATTGTGGTTATCCAAGAGTGCATTATATTGATTTATTCTATTGTATTTCGACCTAGCTTGTACCTTGACTATTCTTCTTTCTGTATTCCTTAATTCTAGCTTGTCTTGTTGTTCATGTACTCTCTGTCTTCCTGACCTTGGCTTGTTCTGTACTATTCTTTATTATTAGCTTTAAATCCAGCTACTGTAATGGCCGGTAATATGCCTTAGTATTCTGGTTACATTTTATTTGTTAACCTAAATTCTGCATGTTGGGTATTTGTTAAATCCTGAAATGCAACCTTACCTTTCACTCTTGAAGTCAATGCTTCTGAAATTCATCATTTATGACCAATGGTTTCTTTTCCATGATGTTATCTAAACCAGAATGCAATTAAGATATGGGAAATAGAGAATTACTAGCCGTAATTTTAGCTTTGGCAGAATAGAGACATTTATTGGAGGGTACTGTTGTTCCCATTACCATTTGACTGACCACAAGAACCTTAAGTTCCCTTAGTGAGGCCAAAAGATTTAATCCTAGACAAGTCAGGTGGACTATGTTTCTGTCCAGGTTCCACTACATTATAACATATAGACCTGGTTCCAATGATGTTAGGGATGATGCCCTCTCTAAGACAAATTGCTATTGTTTTTTTTGTTTTTTTAAATCTGGAAAAAGTCCTGCTATGAAATGGATGTTAAGTTATCATTCTCATCAGCTTTTCATCCTCAAACCAACAGAGCAGCAGAGCACACAAAACTGTTTTTTGAACAATATCTTCAGCAGGATAATTGCTCTGTGGTTACCTCTACTATATAAACTCAATTCATTGTTTGCTGTGGCTATAGTCCAGTTGCTCTACTTGGCTCTTTTGTGGAATAAGGTAACCAGGCTTGGATCAACATCTTGAGGACATCCATTCTACATGGGCACAGGTTCACACCTTGCTCAAAACACTTTGGTTCCAGAAGAAGCATGCAGATAAGAGTTGTGCAGCTGCTCCTACTTCCCATGTAGGGGATTGAGTTTGGCTTGCCACTAAAAACATTAATCTCAGAGGTCCTATGCACAAACTGGCTCCTTGTTATATCTTCGTATTCTAAACACCATTTACACGTCTTTACCCAAACCACTTTTGTGTAACACAAATAGCCCTCTATTTTTCCACTTCCTGCTTCTGTTATTGTTGAAGGTTAAGAGGAGTTTGATTTTAAGCCATTGTTGATTCTAGTTTCTCGAGGAGTGTGGTTCTTTATTTGCTTCATTGTACCAGATTAGGTCCTGAGGAAAGGTCCTGGGTTCCTCACAATGAGGTCTTCTCCTCTTCCTTAGTACATCTGTTCCAAGCAAGATTTCCTTCTAAACTTAGTGATTCCTGCCCAAAGGTCTGTCCTCAAAGGGAGGGGTGCTGTTAGGAACTCATGTGTCCGGTGGCATCTGTATGCCATTAGCTTTTCTCTCATGGACTGCTAGGAGTTTCCTCTTCTTATTCACTTTTGATTTGCCAATTCACATAATTTCCCACACATAATCATTAAGGTAAGTTTTGGTTTTGGGTCTGGCCTTTTTAAAACCCTGGATTCCACTTGTGTGCTGCCAGTTCCTTGCCTGATTCAGTGCGTGCGATTCCTTGGGGCTACTTTTCTGATTATTCTGTATTTGACCCAGCTTGCTGATAGTTCTTTGCTGCCTGCCTCTGACCTTGGAAAAACTGACTAAGTTACTCTCTGGTTCCCTGACTCCGGCTTGTTTTGTGATCTGCTCTCCTGTTAGAATGGTATTTAAGAAGGAGATATGGAGATATTAAAATTATTTATAAAATTATATGTGGACGAATATTACATGCTGCAAATTTAAATAAATAAAAATACCATGCATGACTCAAAATAATTCTCATTGTAGCTTGAAATAAGTCTTAATATTTAGAAATAAGGAAAGTTTGAAAAAATTATATTTGTCCGGTAAACAAATTCATAACAATTATTTGTAAATTAGTTTTGCATTACTCTTTACCACAATAAAATTATTTCAATAATGACATCATGTAATGTTCAAGTTATTAAGATTTTGTCAAGAAAAAGACATCCAAAACTGAAACAAACCAAAAAATGTAAACATAGAAAACACAAATTGCATACATGGCTACAAATTCAGATAGAATAAAATATCTCAGGTCAATATCACTAAATGAGCACCACTTATTTAAGTAATAAAAACATATAACAGAAAAATAAATTCACACATCCGTAAACATAATGCTCCATCTCTACTGCAAGGTAGGAGTATGCAAAATAGGTGTATTCATATCCCCTCAAAGTCCACCATCAAAGACTTTCTCACACATTAAAATATTCCTATTGACCTGTAACATGCCGTATGACATTGCAATCCATTAACATGCATTACTTGCCATTGCACAGTGCACTGATTACACTTCTCATTCCCAACTACTTCCCCATGTGATGTTACATGGTCAGGATATCAAGCGTCCTTAGAAATAAAACCCATCCACAGAAAAGTGGGGATTATGTTATTATCCTATAATAGCTAGCAAATAATTCATCAAATTATATAAAGTCCAAGTATACAATAAATAGTGGTAAGACATAAATAAATAGATAGAATTGTTTTCTAAGATATGTCACAAAACTCCATCCACTTGGACAAAATATACTGGTCTCTCTGAAATCTGGAGTCACATCTTTCAAAGATGTTAAGTAATTGTAAGCAACTCTGGGCATATACAAATGTTATTTTTATTCTTATTAATATTAATATTATACTATTGTAATTTTGATGAAAAAACAAACCAAAAAAAACTTAGATTCCCCAAATTCATCCATCCAAAAAACAATGTAAATCTATTTCTATATTTAAACCATGTGGTTGTAAAGTTGTTAATCAATTTATCCATTTTATTTTAGTTGATTACTCCCTTCCAATATGCCTGTTCTATTCCTACTAAACTGGAATTGTTTTTCATTTTAATGTAGGAGGACTGTATGTTTATTATATTTAAAATATATATATATATATATATATATATATATATATATATATATAAGAAGAGAATTCTTGGCACTCACCCTTAATATTTCCAACAACAGTTGCAACACTGCCTGGGTGCAATCCTCAGCGTTTGAATATAGAAAAAGTCAATATAGAAGGAGCACTCACAGGTCTTCATATAAATATTGATTTATTCCAAGTTACATGTGCAAGATGAAGAATGTGCAAGATGAAGAAGACCCTGTGAGGGTCGAAACGTCGATTGCACATGTAATTTGGAATAAATCAATATTTATATGAAGACCTGTGAGTGCTCCTTCTATATTGACTTTTTCTATATATATATATATATATAGATATATATATATATCTATATATATATTGATGTTCTAAAATTCATTCTTTAAGTTTTCTATAATTTCCTCCTATGTACTGTGTCCTATAGAAGTGTGGATAGTAAATATAAATGGCAAATTACTAGTAATGTATCATTTTATATAAAATACTCATTGTATTATTTCAAAATATATCCCTGTTGTCCGAACCGGAAGCCCATCAACTGTACTCCAGCTTAGATTATGTGTAATTGGATTTTAGCAGTAGCAATAATATGCTAAGGAAGGAGTTTGTCCAGTGCTTCCAGCCTAGCATTGCAGACCAAAGGTCAATAGCAAATACGGACATACGATTCTGTATTAGACAACCCATAGCAGAGGGCCAAGTCTAGGTGCTGGAAAGATCTAAATACCAGTATATTGATACAATCCATGGGGAAATACTCTTGATACTCTTGACCCTATGACCATTACATGAGTTGTTGAGCTTATGATGCTTAGAGGGGCACCTATTATCATTTTAGGTATCTATTGCACTATTCTCTTTCCTGCAATTTATCAGCATAAATAGGTTCAATAATGTATTGAACGAATGTAGCCTACATAGCTATGTAGCTTGCCACTTCAGTTTCTGACAGTTAAGACCGTTTCCTTACTTTGGGCCATATGTTTACATTACATATATTTGTTTTTATTGACTTAAGTGTTTTCTGATCCAACTTTTCTCATTGTCCATTTAGCTAATCATAATCTACATAACCCAAACTGGTCATTCCTGACTGCCTTACAGCTGGGCTATTTGTGCTTTTTCCTGATCACGTCTGGTGCCATACAAAGTTACATGTCATTCTGAACTTTTAATATTAATGTTTTTGTTTGACATTCAAAACTTAGTCTAATGATATTTGTACCAGACAGGATGACTTTTTAATATTTTTGTTTAACCATTGTAGCATTTATATTTGATTAGACTTAAGACAGAAATACTGTATGAGGTCCATGGCTCACATTCAGTTAAAACACTTTAAACTTTTAGAAGCTTACAGTAAATGATTTTTGCTTTGATTTTGTAGATATGTTGATGCTTGATGCGTTACTTCTATTAAATCAGAAAGTAATAATAGTCACAATAAATGCTTATAGCAGACAATGATGCTATTTATAGGTGAGTGTGTTAACACCCATGTGAAATATAAAAGCAGCCAGTTTGTGCCTAGAATGTGTGACTCTGCAGTGCAGACTGTACCTGGTATCTCGTCTTTACATCTCCTCTGTGAGAAGAATCATCATGTCTCATCACTCCATCCTTGGGATCTCTGGACACAAGCATTTCAGCTCCTGTTCAATGGCTTCACCTAAACATGGGAGCTCACAGCACACATTCTCTCACTCCTCCAACTCTGCAAATCATGGTAAGAAGTCAATACATTGCTTTAGCAGCAGAAGTGCCTGTGGTATGGGTTCCAAAGGACACAAAATCTCACTGGGAAGTTTTTATTCTGGGAAAAATGGACACGCATCTGGACATGGATCTGGACACGGAGGTATTGGCTATGGATTTGGGGGATCAGCATGCTCTGGAGGCATCACCCCAGTTACTGTAAACCAAGGTCTTCTGGCCCCTCTCAACCTGGAGATTGACCCAAGCATCCAGAGAGTGAGGACTGATGAAAGAAATCAAATTAGGGGTCTGAATGACAAATTTGCTTCTTTTATTGACAAGGTGAGATTATTTTACATGATAAGTAGAATAGAGAGAAACATCTAACCAGCAGAAGATACAATATATTTTTGTTATTACACATCTTTCGAAAAGCCAATGCTCTTCTCTTGGATCACTAATATCCTCTCATGACATGTCCTATGAGATGAACAGAGGAATTTACAATCTTTGCTTGCTGCATGAGGTTCCACGGATATGGCTTTTAAAAAGTATTTATTGTAAATGTTGATTCTAACATCAACCTAAGCTGTCTTCACTCATGTTTTTTTTTTTCATGTTTTTTTTTAATATTTAATCTTTATTGAAAAGTTTTAATTTTTTTTCCCTTTTTCTTTCGTTGTATTTATTTATTTTTTTTAAATGTCATGTTTTTTAATGTCTTCTAAGATTGAGTTCTAGTAAATTTGCTCCACAGACAATTATAAGAACATGTTCAAATTATATAACTTCTTTATAAAATGTGTTATTCAAGAAAGCTAAATTAAAATCAAATAAGTAATGAAATTATTTCCAATCAACTTTCTAATTTAAACTTAGGTGCGATTTCTGGAACAACAAAATAAAATGTTGGAGACTAAGTGGACTCTCTTACAAGAACAAAAAACTGCCCATTATCAAATTGAACCCCTGTTTGAAGCTTTTATCAGTAACCTTAGGAGACAGCTGGGAAACCTGGGATGTGAAAGAGAACGTCTAGAAGCAGAAAGGAACAGCATGGAACAATCTGTGGAAGAATTAAGGGGAAGGTATGTTGTTTTTTGTTTGTTTGATTTTTAAACAATCAATTTATATAGCTATATTCATGCATTTACCCAGAAACAAATTTTTCTGTATAATCTCTAGTATATTATTTCACTGTTAAAAATGAAAATAAAATTTTCTAAAGGGGCACTCTATATATATATATATATATATATATATATATATATATATATATATATATATATATATATATATATATATATAAAACCACTGTAATTTATTGTAGTGGATTTAAAGCAAAACATTTTGAGGCAAAAAAGAAACTTCCGCCCATCAAGTTCTGCTTTTTTCACATATGTTTTTGCTGTTGATCCAAAAGAAGGCAAAACACCCAGTCTGAAGCGCTTTCAGTTTTGCAAAAAATTGGGAAACACAATTCCTTCTTGACCCAAAATGGCAGTCAGATTTATCCTTGGATCAAGCAGCGATTACCCCACTAATTAGAAATGATATCCCTTGATATTATGTTTCTGAAGTATTTATCAAATTGCTGCTGAAACATCTGTATGGACTCTGATAAATCCACATCTTCATGCAGGGAATCCCACATTCTTATTGTTCTTACTATAAAAAAAAACAAAAAAACACACTTTTCCTTGCCTTAGATGAAATCTCCATTCTTCCAGCCTAAATGCGTGACCTATGTACAGCTCTGTTTATGAATAGATTTCCAGATAATGGTTTGTATTAGCCCCGAATATATTTGTATAATGTTATCATATCCCCTCTGAGACACCATTTTTCCAAACTAAATATTTTAACTTTTCTTTATAACTAAAATGCTCTATTCTACAGCTTGGTTAATGTGGAAGTAAATCACGGCATTAGGCTGACCAACTTTGGTCAGCAACAATTGCCTGAAACTGCTAACAGTGTGCTCAGTGCAATGTCTGCCATTACCACCCAAAGCAGAGGGATTGTAAATATGGGGAGATCTCTGTTTTTGAGAGACTGATAGAGAACAATGTGACATAACCTGAGGAAATTTGCAAAAAGACTATTTGCACTGTCAGTGCTAAAATAAAACATAGTTGCCAAGGATACTTGCAGGTTTACTTGCTAACGTGAGACTGCAAAGTGGCATCAAAGTGAATTTCAAATTTAAGGTCAGAGTAGCCTAAGTGAATGTATAGTTGACTTATAGTATAGTTGACGTATAGTTGACCAGTTCAGCTGTTTGACCTTAAAATTGAAATTTAGTTTGAATACTTCTTTTAGTAAATAACCAGATTGACCTTTTAACATGTACACTAGCAAAACATTTAATTAAAACTGAATTCCATTAAGAAGAAAGGTTTCTGATATGTAGCAATTCTTAATAAATGTTATTAATATTTAATATTCTAGGTATGAAGAAGAAGTGAACAGACGCACCGCGGCAGAAAATGAGTTTGTTGGACTAAAAAGGGTAAAAAGGAAACTCTATAGATTTCTAAAATGTAAATGAATAAATTATTATAAAACAGTAGCAATCCCCTTAATGTATATATTTCCTTATTTCAGGATGTAGACGCAGCTTTTATGAACAGAGCTGAGTTACAAGGAAAGGCTGAGTCCCTGACTGATGAGATCAACTTCTTGAGGACTCTGTATGATGCGGTAAATATATTTTCAGATATTTCATTTCTGGAATTTACTTAAAAGATTTTATTTTCTTGAATATTTGAAAAGTTCCATAAAAACACTTTATCTGCTTTTTAACTTTCTAGGAAATTTCCCAGCTCCAGGCTCAGATCTCAGACACCTCAGTGGTTGTGTCCATGGATAACAGTCGGGATCTGGACCTGGATGGAATCATTGCTGAGGTCAGATCTCAATATGAGGACATTGCTAACAGGAGCAGAGCTGAGGCGGAGGCCATGTACCAGTCACGGGTGAGTCGATTGAAGCTCAAGCGCCAACTGAATTTTATGCAGATTATTATTCACAGAGTAGCGTAAAACCAATGCACATTATATGTTTCACTTTTTGGGCAGTTTGAGGAGCTTCGTACAGCTGCAGGAAGAAATGGAAATAATCTGCAGAGCAGCCGAGATGAGATCTGTGAGCTGAACCGAACAATTCAAAGAATGAAGGGAGAGATTGACAGTGTGAAGGCTCAGGTAAAACTAGAGGAAACATGAGTTACTAATGTACTAATAAAGCATAACTGACTGAAACCCATATATATTGAATTACATGTAAGGCAGAGCCATATTGAATAGTTTTTAATTATGATTATTGGAAAAAACTATTAAAAAAGCAAGTAACTTATTGGAATATTAAATGGTTTATTAGCGCTCTGCACTTGAATCAGCAATAAATGAAGCTGAGGAACGTGGAGAATCTGCTGTCAGAGATGCCAAGAACAAACTGTCTGAGCTGGAAGGTGCTCTACAGAAGGCCAAGCAGGACATGGCTCGCCAACTGCGAGAATACCAGGAGCTGATGAATGTGAAACTGGCTCTGGATATTGAGATCGCCACCTACAGGAAGATGCTGGAAGGAGAGGAGGGCAGGTGAGTTACTGAGTCCTTAACAAATTAATTATCTGTGTATGACAGTGGGTTGATTTCACTGATGCGAGATATTTTATGCCATGCTGCATTCTAAGGAATTAATGTTCTATTTATTTCATTGTGTTCTGTCAGTGCGAGCAAGGCTTGATACCCTTATGCAAAAAGTGTCCATTAATACCTGAGATTATTAATTTTAGCTGGAGAAATTTAAGATCCCTGCACTGACTAGTGAAATGTAATTTATTTTAAAAAAAGACATTCCTTTTGCATTGTCAATTGAACTTCCTTGTTCATCAGTCCTCAATTATGGTATCAGCACTGACATCCACAAGTTAGCAACCAGAGAAGAGCTCACAGAGTCCGAGGAGTTTCCCAATGATCACCATGCGTGTGCTAGAAAGTTTCAGAGCTTGGACCCATAGCACAAGGAAGGAAATACATTTTTCTACTCTGCTCCTTGTATTTTAAAACATTATCAAGGATGTTAAAATATTGTGCATGATCCAGGCATATCGTAGTGATGCTATCTCTATAGTTATCATGTTATTAAAATATCTCTGAGCCATTATGTAATAGAGAGGAAAAGGTTTAAAATGATGTAAAAGTGAAAAAGAATAACACATTTTATGAACCATGTGTATTTTCTTTATAAAAGATGATAGAGCAGAAACTCATATCGAGTGGGTTTATATTAAGAGAAAAAGAGAATGTGAAGAAATATTGTTTTAAAAAGTTATAATTAATTTGAACTATAACACAGTGCCCCATTAAAATAGCCTTGTGTATAAAGGGACAACATAGAAACATAGAATGTGACGGCAGATAAGAACCATTCGGCCCATCTAGTCTGCCCAATTTTCTAAATGCTTTCATTAGTCCCTGGCCTTATCTTATAGCTAGGATAGCCTTATGCCTATCCCACGCATGCTTAAACTCCTTAACTGTGTTAACCTCTACCACTTCAGCTTGAAGACTATTCCATGCATCGACTACCCTCTCAGTAAAGTAATACTTCCTGATATTATTTTTAAACCTTTGTCCCTCTAATTTAAGACTATGTCTTCTTGTTGTGGTAGTTTTTCTTCTTTTAAATATGGTCTCCCCCTTTACTGTGTTGATTCCCTTTATGTATTTAAATGTTTATATCATATCCCCCCGTCTCGTCTTTCCTCCAAGCTATACATGTTAAGATCCTTTAACCTTTCCTGGTAAGGTTTATCCCGCAATCCATGAACCAGTTTAGTAGCCCTTCTTGAACTGGTTCATGGATTGCAGGATAAAACAACCACATTGGAAATTTCATTAAAAGTATTCGCTCCTTTTAGCTAATTAGAGAGATAATTATCCAATACTAAAATAATGTGTTTATGTTTTATTTCAGGATGACTGCTCATGGTTCTGTTAATATATGTAAGTGATACAATACTTGAGAACATTGAATCTTAGAACAAAATAAAAACCTTACAAACACACTGGTTATATGAGTGCTTATCTTAATGTACATTTTATTTCTGCATTGCTTCTCTGACAAAATCTCTCCATACATTTCTTTCTATTGATACAGACAGTATTATCAATAGTTATTAAGGTGTTAGGTATTTGTATTTATTGTCATTTCTATTTGGATAATAACTTGTAGCATTATTGTGTTTCAGCCGTGCTTCACTCCAGCACTGGAGGAAAACACAGCTCAGGAGAGAAGTCCCACGGTAATAGTGGCCAACATTACAGTGGAGGATCCAGCACAAGCATCTCGAAAAGCAGAAACAGCTCTGGCCACGGACACCACTGCTAAAGTTCAATAGAAGCACTTTAGGGTTATTCAATAAATTTGAGTTTAACATTTTTTTAACCAAAAAAGTCTACATTTTAAATATTCTCAACTATGATTTGGATTTATCTATTTTTTTGTAATCTAAAATTTGAAATGATCTTTGAATTCACTTTTAATTCCCCCCAAAAATCACACTTCAGTGAATAACCTTGATAGAAATTGCCAGTGAGATAGCTCAGTGGGCTAATGCATCATCAGTAGAATCTGTTCAACCCAGCAGGGTTGACTCAGCCCTTCATCCTTCCGAGCTAGATAAAATGAGTACCATTATATTGGGTAATAGTAACAACCCCTGGATGTTGGGCTATGGTAACATCCCCAAGACGTACTTGAAAACTATAGTAATCTGAATGTGCCTTTCCTGGTTAAATACTTTATTATTAAAATGCTAAAATGAAAGCATAGATTTTAGTGAAAGCACTAATTTTGATTTTAAGGTGCATTTATTGCTTAATTTTCTTGCAGTTCAAACATATTATGCAACTTCCTTTCTGTTTAATTGTCTTTATATCGTTTAAATACAATAATCACTTCTTACTTATCTGTAATGTGTCTCTGCAATAAAACTTTACTCATTGAAAAATCTTATTAATGTTTTTATTATTTTCCTTATCCCCTTCCCGACCGCAGACGGAAATTTTCCGTCAACCTTGTCCTTCAGTTAAGGACCGTTGACGGAAAATTTCAGTCATTTACTAAAGTAAACCCCAGATCGCCGTGATCGCGGCGATCGTGGGGTTAACGGTGATTCGGTCTGCCTCTGTATTAGAGGCAGACCGGGAGCACCTGATCGGGCTGCCCCAGCACCGGTGCTCGCTCTGACAGAATGTCAGAGTGAGCACATGTGCTCAGTATACTCACCTTCCGCCTCCCTGCACTTCCGGGTTCTGTGTGAAGTGCAGGGAGATGGCTCAGTGCTGCTGATCTTCCCCCTGTGTAAAAAAAATAAATAAAGTTAAATCCCACCCCCCTTTCCCCTACTTTAATAAAATTAACCCCTTCCCTGCCAATTGATCACTGACTACAGTGATCAATTGGCAGGGTATACATTTTAATGTCATCTGATTTTTTTTAACCTCTGAGGTTTAATTATTTTTTTTAACCCTCATGGATTAAATTTATTTGATTAATTCATTTAAATATTTAAAAATTATATATTTAGCTAGCTGGGATGGGTGGAAGTTAGTGGGGAATTGGGGAATTTGGTGTTTGGCTAACTAGGAGTTAACGTTAAAAAAAGTTTTAAAATAAGCTTTAAAAAAGTAAATAAAAGTTTTAAAAAATGTTTTAGTAACGTTTAAGTAAAAAAAAAAAATACCACCCCCACACACTGTAGTCTAATTTGTTTTGACCCCTGAAGATTAACTTTTATTTATTTTTTAACCCTCAGGGGTTCAATTTATTTAATTAATTAATTAAAATATTTTATAATTATATATATTTTGCTAGCTGGAGTGGGTGGGAGTTATGGCAAAGGGGGGAATTTACTGTTAGTGCTGCTTACTGCTAGTTGGGGTTAATGGTAAAAGAAAAGTTTACAAAAAATGTAAAAGTGTAAAAAAAGTTAAGAAAGTGTAAAACATTTAATAAGTAAAAAAAGTTTAGAAACAGATTTTACAAAGTAAAAAAAGTTTAAAAACGGGTTTTACAAAGTAAAAGTTTTACAAAATAAAAAAATACATTAAAAAAATTCTCATTACCACTACACTTGGTACAAGCTAGTGGAAAAATGATCCCATGCTAAGGTTCAAATATGCCTTTTGAATTACCCTGGGATGTCTTCTTTAGGAAATATTATGCCTTTATGGTGTAATTGGATTATATAGCCTTGTAAAATACTCTAAAATGGGACATGGACACAGCGTAAAAATTCAAAGTTTGAAAAAAACTGGAATGGCTGTGTCTCAAATGTGCCCCTTCAATGTCCACATATACCTGGCAAAGGTACATATGGGGGTATTGCTGTACTCAGCCGACATAGCTGAGCAACATATGAAGTATTATACAGTCATAGTACACATAAGGTTTGCAAAATATGCTGCGCAAACTCACTTTGTATGTCAAAAAGGCAGAAAAAAATGCTTATTACCACTACACTTGGTACAAGCTAGCGGAAAAATGATCCCACGCTAAGGTTCAAAATATGCCTTTTGAATTACCCTGGGATGTCTTCTTTAAGAAATGGTATGCCTTTATGGGGTAATTGGATTATATAGCCTTGTAAAATACTCTAAAATGGGACATGGACACAGCGTAAAAATTCAAAGTTTGGAAAAAACTGGAATGGCTGTGTCTCAAATGTGCCCCTTCAATGTCCACATATACCTGGCAAAGGTACATATGGGGGTATTGCTGTACTCAGCGCCATAGCTGAGCAACATATGAAGTAGTATACAGTCGTAGTACACATAAGGTTTGCAAAATATACTGCACAAACTCACTTTGTGTCTCAAAAAGGCAGAAAAAATGCTTATTACCACTACACTTGGTACAAGCTAGTGGAAAAATGATTCCACGCTAAGGTTCAAAATATGCCTTTTGAATTACCCTGGGATGTCTTCTTTAAGAAATGGTATGCCTTTATGGTGTAATTGGATTATATAGCCTTGTAAAATACTCTAAAATGGGACATGGACACAGCGTAAAAATTCAGAATTTGAGAAAAACTGGAATGGCTGTGTCTCAAATGTGCCCCTTCAATGTCCACATATACCTGGCAAAGGTACATACAGGGGTATTGCTGTACTCAGCCGACATAGCTGAGCAACATATGAAGTAGTATACAGTTGTAGTACACATAAGGTTTGCAAAATATACTGTGCAAACTCATTCTGTGTGTCAAAAAGGCAAAAAATTCATGCCTTTTGAAATACCCTGGGATGTGTTCTTTAAGAAATGGTATGCCTTTATGGTGTAGTTGTAATATGTAGCCTGTTCAAGTGCACCAAAGTGGGACATGGACGCATCAAAACCCTCCATGAAAATTAATTGGTAAAAACCTTAACTTGTCACGTCTCTTTTACAGCAGTGTAACTTCACAAACTAGTGTCTAGGTCATACATTGGGCATATTGTTTTACTCAGAAGACTTAGCTGAGCATAATTTGGGGGGTTTGAACTTAGTGGCACATATGAAATGTACAAAATGCCCAGCAAAAATGTAATCCGTATGTAAAAAATGCCCAAAATTATTTTTTACCACATACTTTGGCATATATTGGTAAAAAAATGGGGGCATGTTAAGGCACAATATGCACCATATGAGATACCCTGGACTGTCTACTTTTAAAAATGGTAGGCCTTTGTGGGAGTTTTTTGAACAGTCAAACTTCTATAATTCCCCAAATTGAAGCATAGGCCCATTAAATCCTCCTCTCAAAATTCTACTGTAAATATTGAAACGGACAGGTCTCCTATATGGCACTGTAGCTTCACGAAATAGTGCCAAAAACATACAATGTGGGTATCGTTGTACTCAGCAGAAGTAACTGAACATAAAATAAAACTTTGTACAAGAATAGCACACACCAACTTTATAAAATAACATGAGAAGTTCTTTCTTATAAGTTTGTGTTTGTAATATTATACTATTGTAATTTTGATGAAAAAACTAAACAAAAAACTTACATTCCCCAAATTCATCCATCCAAAAAACAATGTAAATCTATTTCTATATTTAAACCATGTGGTTGTAAAGTTGTTAACCAATTTGTCCATTTTATTTTAGTTGATTACTCCCTTCCAATATGCCTGTTCTATTCCTACTAAACTGGAATTGTTTTTCATTTCAATGTAGGAGGACTGTATGTTTATTATATTTAAAAAAAAAATAATAATAAAAAATATATATATATATATGTATATATATATATATTGATGTTCTAAAATTCATTCTTTAAGTTTTCTATCATTTCCTCCTATGTACTGTGTCCTATAGGAGTGTGGATAGTAAATATGAATGGCAAATTACTAGTAATGTATCATTTTATATAAAATACTCATAGTATTATTTCAAAATATATCCCTGTTGTCCGAACCGGAAGCCCATCAACTGTACTCCATCAGTTTGTCCAGTGCTTCCAGCCTAGCATTGCAGACCAAAGGTAAATAGCAAATATAGACATTCAATTCTGTATTAGACAACCCATAGCAGAGGGCCAAGTCTAGGTGCTGGAAAAATCTAAATACCAGTATATTGATAGAATCCATGGGAAATACTCTTGATACTCTTGACCCTATGACCATTACATGAGTTGTTGAGCTTATGATGCTTAGAGGGGCACCTATTATAATTTTAGGTATCTATTGCACTATTCTCTTTCCTGCAATTTATCAGCATACATAGGTTCAATAATGTATTGAACGAATGTAGCCTACATAGCTATGTAGCTTGCCACTTCAGTTTCTGACAGTTAAGACTGTTTCTTTACTTTGGGCCAAATGTTTACATTACATATATTTGTTTTTATTGACTTAAGTGTTTTCTGATCCAACTTTTCTCAGTGTCCATTTATCTAATCATAATCTACATAACCCAAACTGGTCAGTCCTGACTGCTGTGGGAATATTTATGGGATGATAATATTATACAGTTGAGAATTGCCCACTATTTCAATTCTCTTTGATCTTAGAGATCGTTATCATATAAGTGAAATGTATTCCATACAAATAAAATCACAATTTGTTATAAAAATAGATATAATTTATTGTGACAAATAAAATAATAATATTAGGCAGCATGCATGATATTAATCAGTGAATATTTAGTATAACATAAGTATGCAATATAATGGCTAGACACAGTACAAAACTACAGCATCAACTGTCAAGACAAGATGAATGGGTACTTCTCAGACACCGAAAGCAAAACTTCACACAGCCCAGCGAAAAACCCTGGCTAACAGTTAAATCAGCTGAGTAACCCTTTCAATGCTGGCTAGATCCTCCTAGGCACATAGTATCCTATTCTCATGTAATTATCAATTGAAATAACATTCGAACCAGCTCATTAATCATTTCCTGGAACCATCCAATAAGAATAATCAACCAGATTTTTACAAAAGCCGAATTTTAATTTGCTTAAAAAGATATCTTATCTTATTTTAGAGTAAATCAATACACCTGGATAAAAACAGCGGTATGCTAACACGTGATACTATCACATTAATATATAATTATTCTTAATTCCACCTGCAGAATGGAATGTTTATAAATATATATTCTTTAGTTAACTGAGATTTCTAATTATTGAAATCTGACCGTGATTTATCCAGTCATATATCATGCTATTAGATTTTAATTAATTTAGATTAATTAAATAAAACCAGCATAATTACCAGTTATGTAGGTATTCTCATCAGATGAGTAGGAAGTCCCAGAAACTTGAATGCAAGTATGATTGGTTGTATGGAGGTGTATAAGTAATAGAGAAAAGTGGTGTCGGTTAGAAAGTATCAGTAAAATTCTAAGTGTCAAGGAGTGTTTCTTGAGTTGTGTCCAAGAGAGTTTGAGAGTTGGATGTTAGTCCCAGAGAGTGTCCTGAATCTCTCTGTATGTCCGAATCTGAATGCCCAAAAACGAATCTTCTCTCTTCCCTTTGTCCTAACTTTTAAAGGGCCAGACTCTCTGTACGTCATTAGTTGATAAGGCCGATAGGATACTGAAGGTGTGGTCAACCTGCAGATCGCAATTTAGGTATTTGATCCATAGAGGGCAGTCTCGCCTCACTAAACCTTCCTATCGAGGAAAGAGTTAACTTTTCCTGATGACGATTTTGACGTCATTTGGCTTATCTAAAATGACTACCATAACTTAAATTTGCGGTCAGTTCAAATCGTTTGTCTCAGTCTTTCTGGCAAAGACTTTGATCGTAATTTCTAAAATTGACAGTTCTAAACTCAATTTCACCCCTTACTTACAATGGGACCTTGTAAAATTTAGATAGTAAAATTAATTACTTAGTCTTCTCCGTCACTAGTGTCTGTGTTTAAAATTATTTCTATTCCATTAACATTTAAACAGAGCATTCCACCCCCCTGCTTCATTGCTTATCACTTGGCTTGTTTATATAATGCATTCCTTAGCTCAGGCTAGTGGCTAGTTACAGAAAGCAAGAATAATTGATGTGTCTTTAATGGCCTGAAGATCCAAAATGGTCTAGCAAGCTATTAACATAGCAGGGGATAATAAAATCTTAATTAAACAGAACTTGCAATAAAGAAAGCCTAAATAGGGCTCTCTTTACAGGAAGTGTTTATGGAAGGCTGTGCAAGTCACATGCAGGGAGGTGTGACTAGGGTTCAAAAACAAAGGGATTTAACTCCTAAATGGCAGAGGATCGAGCAGTGAGGCTGCAGGGGCATGTTCTATACACCAAAACTGCTTCATTAAGCTAAAGTTGTTCAGGTGACTATAGTGTCCCTTTAAGACGGAAATACTGTATGAGGTCCATGGCTCACATTAAGTTAAACACTTTAAACTATTAGAAGCTTACAGTAAATGATTTTTGCTTTGATGTTGTAGATATGTTGATGCTTGATGCGTTACTTCTATGAAATCAGAAAGTAATAATAGTCACAATAAATGCTTATAGCAGACAATGATGCTATTTGTAGGTGAGTGTGTTAACACCCATGTGAAATATAAAAGCAGCCAGTTTGTGCCTAGAATGTGTGACTCTGCAGTGCAGACTGTACCTGGTATCTCGTCTTTACATCTCCTCTGTGAGAAGAATCATCATGTCTCATCACTCCATCCTTGGGATCTCTGGACACAATCACTTCAGCTCCTGTTCAATAGCTTCACCTAAACATGGGAGCTCACAGCACACATTCTCTCACTCCTCCAACTCTGCAAATCATGGTAAGAAGTCAATACATTGCTTTAGCAGCAGAAGTGCCTGTGGTATGGGTTCCAAAGGACACAAAAGCTCACTGGGAAATTTTTATTCTGGGAAAAATGGACACGCATCTGGACATGGATCTGTACATGGAGGTATTGGCTATGGATTTGGGGGATCAGCATGCTCTGGAGGCATCACCCCAGTTACTGTAAATCAAGGTCTTCTGGCCCCTCTCAACCTAGAGATTGACCCAAGCATCCAGAGAATGAGGACTGATGAAAGAAATCAAATTAGGGGTCTGAATGACAAATTTGCTTCTTTTATTGACAAGGTGAGATTATTTTACATGATAAGTAGACTAGAGAGAAACATCTAACCAGCAGAAGATACAACATTTTTTTTTTATTACACATCTTTCAAAAAGCCAATGCTCTTCTCTTGGATCAATATTATCCTCTCATGAGATGAACAGAGGAATTTACAATCTTTGCTTGATGCATGAGGTTCCACGGATATGGCTTTTAAATAGTATTTATTGTAAATGTTGATTCTAACATCAACCTAAGCTGTCTTCACTCATGTTTTTTTTTTTCATGTTTTTTTTTTAATATTTAATCTTTATTGAAAAGTTTTATTTTTTTTCCCTTTTTCTTTCGTTGTATTTCTTTTTTTTTTTTTTAAATGTCATGTTTTTTAATGTCTTCTAAGATTGAGTTCTAGAAAATTTGCTCCACAGACAATTATAAGAATTGTATGTTTGTTTGTTCATGGCTAATACGATAGCAGTTATATTTTTTATACCTCTGAATATTGCAGTAGTAATACTTTATAGTACATGTTCATTTTAAGTGTTTTGATTTGCATGCATATATATATATATATATAAATAAGTAATGAAATTATTTCCAATCAACTTTCTAATTTAAACTTAGGTGCGATTTCTGGAACAACAAAATAAAATGTTGGAGACTAAGTGGGCTCTCTTACAAGAACAAAAAACTGCCCATTATCAAATTGAACCCCTGTTTGAAGCTTTTATCAGTAACCTTAGGAGACAGCTGGGAAACCTGGGATGTGAAAGAGAACGTCTAGAAGCAGAAAGGAACAGCATGGAACAATCTGTGGAAGAACTACGGGGAAGGTATGTTGTTTTTTGTTTGTTTGATTTTTAAACAATCAATTTATATAGCTATATTCATGCATTTACCCAGAAACTAATTTTTCTGTATAATCTCTAGTATATTATTTCACTGTTAAAAATGAAAATAATATTTTCTAAAGGGGCACTCTATATATATATATATATATATATATATATATATATATATATATATATATATATATATATATAAAACCACTGTAATTTATTGTAGTGGATTTAAAGCAAAAAATTTTGAGGCAAAAAATTGGGAAACACAATTCCTTCTTGACCCAAAATGGCAGTCAGATTTATCCTTGGATCAAGCAGCGATTACCCCACTAATTAGAAATGATATCCCTTGATATTATGTTTCTGAAGTATTATCAAATTGCTGCTGAAACATCAGTATAGACTCTGATAAATTCAAATCTTCATGCAGGGAATCCCACATTCTTATTGTTCTTTCTGTAAAAAAAAAAAACATACTTTTCCTTGCCTTAGATGAAATCTGCTTTCTTCCAGCCTAAATGCGTGTCATATGCATAGCTCTGTTTATGAATAGATTTCCAGATAATGGTTTATACTGGCCCCAAATATATTTGTATAATGTTATCATATCCCCTCTGAGACTGCAAAGTGACATCAAAGTGAATTTCAAATTTAAGGTCAGAGTAGCCTAAGTGAATGTATATTTGACTTATAGTATAGTTGACGTATAGTTGACCAGTTCAGCTGTTTGACCTTAAAATTGAAATTTAGTTTGAATACTCCTTTTAGTAAATAACCAGATTGACCTTTTAACATGTACACTAGCAAAACATTTAATTAAAACTGAATTCCATTAAGAGGAAAGGTTTCTGCTATGTAGCAATTCTTAATAAATGTTATTAATATTTAATATTCTAGGTATGAAGAAGAAGTGAACAGACGTACCGCGGCAGAAAATGAGTTTGTTGGACTAAAAAGGGTAAAAAGGAAACTCTATAGATTTCTAAAATGTAAATGAATAAATTATTATAGAACAGTAGCAATCCCCTTAATGTATATATTTCCTTTTTTCAGGATGTAGACGCAGCTTTTATGAACAGAGCTGAGTTACAAGGAAAGGCTGAGTCCCTGACTGATGAGATCAACTTCTTGAGGACTCTGTATGATGCGGTAAATATATTTTCAGATATTTCATTTCTGGAATTTACTTAAAAGATTTTATTTTCTTGAATATTTGAAAAGTTCCATAAAAACACTTTATCTGCTTTTTAACTTTCTAGGAAATTTCCCAGCTCCAGGCTCAGATCTCAGACACCTCAGTGGTTGTGTCCATGGATAACAGTCGGGATCTGGACCTGGATGGAATCATTGCTGAGGTCAGATCTCAATATGAGGACATTGCTAACAGGAGCAGAGCTGAGGCGGAGGCCATGTACCAGTCACGGGTGAGTCGATTGAAGCTCAAGCGCCAACTGAATTTTATGCAGATTATTATTCACAGAGTAGCGTAAAACCAATGCACATTATATGTTTCACTTTTTGGGCAGTTTGAGGAGCTTCGTACAGCTGCAGGAAGAAATGGAAATAATCTGCAGAGCAGCCGAGATGAGATCTGTGAGCTGAACCGAACAATTCAAAGAATGAAGGGAGAGATTGACAGTGTGAAGGCTCAGGTAAAACTAGAGGAAACATGAGTTACTAAGGTACTAATAAAGCATAACTGACTGAAACCCATATATATTGAATTACATATAAGGCAGAGCCATATTGAATAGTTTTTAATTATGATTATTGGAAAAAACTATTAAAAAAGCAAGTAACTTATTGGAATATTAAATGGTTTATTAGCGCTCTGCACTTGAATCAGCAATAAATGAAGCTGAGGAACGTGGAGAATCTGCTGTCAGAGATGCCAAGAACAAACTGTCTGAGCTGGAAGGTGCTCTACAGAAGGCCAAGCAGGACATGGCTCGCCAACTGCGAGAATACCAGGAGTTGATGAATGTGAAACTGGCTCTAGATATTGAGATCGCCACCTACAGGAAGATGCTGGAAGGAGAGGAGGGCAGGTGAGTTACTGAGTCCTTAACAAATTAATTATCTGTGTATGACAGTGGGTTGATTTCACTGATGCGAGATATTTTATGCCATGCTGCAGTCTAAGGAATTAATGTTCTGTTTATTTCATTGTGTTCTGTCAGTGCGAGCAAGGCTTGATACCCTTATGCAAAAAGTGTCCATTAATACCTGAGATTATTAATTTTAGCTGGAGAAATTTAAGATCCCTGCACTGACTAGTGAAATGTAATTTATTTAAAAAAAAGACATTCCTTTTGCATTGTCAATTGAACTTCCTTGTTCATCAGTCCTCAATTATGGTATCAGCACTGACATCCACAAGTTAGCAACCAGAGAAGAGCTCACAGAGTCCGAGGAGTTTCCCAATGATCACCATGCGTGTGCTAGAAAGTTTCAGAGCTTGGACCCATAGCACAAGGAAGGAAATACGTTTTTCTACTCTGCTCCTTGTATTTTAAAACATTATCAAGGATGTTAAAATATTGTGCATGATCCAGGCATATCGTAGTGATGCTATCTCTATAGTTATCATGTTATTAAAATATCTCTGAGCCATTATGTAATAGAGAGGAAAAGGTTTAAAATGATGTAAAAGTGAAAAAGAATAACACATTTTATGAACCATGTGTATTTTCTTTATAAAAGATGATAGAGCAGAAACTCATATCGAGTGGGTTTATATTAAGAGAAAAAGAGAATGTGAAGAAATATTGTTTTAAAAAGTTATAATTAATTTGAACTATAACACAGTGCCCCATTAAAATGGCCTTGTGTATAAAGGGACAACATAGAAACATAGAATGTGACGGCAGATAAGAACCATTCGGCCCATCTAGTCTGCCCAATTTTCTAAATGCTTTCATTAGTCCCTGGCCTTATCTTATAGCTAGGATAGCCTTATGCCTATCCCACGCATGCTTAAACTCCTTAACTGTGTTAACCTCTACCACTTCAGCTTGAAGACTATTCCATGCATCGACTACCCTCTCAGTAAAGTAATACTTCCTGATATTATTTTTAAACCTTTGTCCCTCTAATTTAAGACTATGTCTTCTTGTAGTCTTGTGGTAGCTTTTCTTCTTTTAAATATGGTCTCCCCCTTTACTGTGTTGATTCCCTTTATGTATTTAAATGTTTATATCATATCCCCCCGTCTCGTCTTTCCTCCAAGCTATACATGTTAAGATCCTTTAACCTTTCCTGGTAAGGTTTATCCCACAATCCATGAACCAGTTTAGTAGCCCTTCTTGAACTGGTTCATGGATTGCAGGATAAAACAACCACATTGGAAATTTCATTACAAGTATTCGCTCCTTTTAGCTAATTAGAGAGATAATTATCCAATACTAAAATAATGTGTTTATGTTTTATTTCAGGATGACTGCTCATGGTTCCGTTAATATATGTAAGTGATACAATACTTGAGAACATTGAATCTTAGAACAAAATAAAAACCTTACAAACACACTGGTTATATGAGTGCTTATCTTAATGTACATTTTATTTCTGCATTGCTTCTCTGACAAAATCTCTCCATACATTTCTTTCTATTGATACAGACAGTATTATCCATAGTTATTAAGGTGTTAGGTATTTGTATTTATTGTCATTTCTATTTGGATAATAACTTGTAGCATTATTGTGTTTCAGCCGTGCTTCACTCCAGCACTGGAGGAAAACACAGCTCAGGAGAGAAGTCCCACGGTAATAGTGGCCAACATTACAGTGGAGGATCCAGCGCAAGCATCTCGAAAAGCAGAAACAGCTCTGGCCACGGACACCACTGCTAAAGTTTAATAGAAGCACTTTAGGGTTATTCAATAAATTTGAGTTTAACATTGTTAACCAAAAAAGACAAAATTTTAAATATTCTCAACTATGATTTGGATTTATCTATTTTTGTGAAATCTAAAATTTGAAATGATCTTTGAATTCACTTTTAATTCCCCCCAAAAAATCACGCTGCAGTGAATAACCCTGATAGAAATTGCCAGTGAGATAGCTCAGTGGGCTAATGCATCATCAGTAGAATCTGTTTAACCCAGCAGGGTTGACTCATCCTTCCGAGGTAGATAAAATGAGTACCATTAAATTGGGTAATAGTAACAACCCCTGGATGTTGGGCTATGGTAACATCCCCAAGACGTACTTGAAAACTATAGTAATCTGAATGTGCCTTTCCTGGTTAAATACTTTGTTATTATTATTATTAAAATGCTAAAATGAAAGCATAGATTTTAGTGAAAGCACTAATTTTGATTTTAAGGTGCATTTATTGCTTAATTTTCTTGCAGTTCAAACATATTATGCAACTTCCTTTCTGTTTAATTGTCTTTATATCGTTTAAATACAATAATCACTTGTTTCTTATCGGTAATGTGTCTCTGCAATAAAACTTTACTCATTGAAAAATCTTATTAATGTTTTTATTATTTTCCTTAACCCCTTCCCGACCGCAGATGGAAATTTTCCATCAACCTTGTCCTTCAGTTAAGGACCGTTAACAGAAAATTTCCGTCATTTATTAAAGTCATCCCCCGATCGCCGTGATCGCGGCGATCGCGGGGTTAACGGTGCTTCGGTCTGCCTCTGTATTAGAGGCAGACTGGGAGCACCCGATCAGACTGCCCCAGCACCGGTGCTAGCTCTGACAGAATGTGCTCAGTATACTCACGTTCCGCCTCCCTGCACTTCCGGGTTCTGTGTGAAGTGCAGGGAGACGGATCAGTGCTGCTGATCTTGTCCCTGTGTAAAAAAAAAAAAAAAAGTTAAATCCCACCCACCTTTCCCCTGCTTTAATAAAATTAACCCCTTCCCTGCCAATTGATCACTGACTACATTGTATCAAATGGCAGGGTATACATTTTAATGTCATTTGATTTTTTTTTTAACCCCTGAGGGTTAATTATTTTTTTTAACCCTCAGGGATTAAATTTATTTGAGTAATTCATTTAAATATTTAAAAATTATGTATGTAGCTAGCTGGGATGGGTGGAAGTTAGTGGGGAATTGGGGAATTTGGTGTTTGGCTAACTAGGGGTTAACGTTAAAAAAGTTTTAAAATAAGCTTTAAAAAGGTAAATAAAAGTTTTAAAAAAATGTTTTAGTAACGTTTAAGTAAAAAAAAAAAAAATACCACCCCCCTTTTCCCAGTCTAAATAAAAATTAACCTCTTCCCTGCCAGTTTATCAATGCCTACAGTGATCAAAATACAGATCACAGTATTATACTGTAGTCTAATTTCTTTTGACCCCTGAAGATTAAGTTTTATTTATTTTTTAACCCTCAGGGGTTCAATTTATTTAATTAATTAATTAAAATATTTTATAATTATATATATTTTGCTAACTGGAGTGGGTGGGAGTTATGGCAAACGGAGGGAATTTACTGTTAGTGCTGCTTACTGCTAGTTAGGGGTTAATGGTAAAAGAAAAGTTTAGAAAAAAATTCAAAAGTGTAAAAAAGTTAAGAAAGTGTAAAACACTTAATAAGTAAAAAAAAAGTTTAGAAACGGGTTTTACAAAGTAAAAAAAGTTTAAAAACGGTTTTACAAAGTAAAACATTTTTACAAAATAAAAAAATACATAAAAAAATGCTCATTACCACTACACTTGGTACAAGCTAGTGGAAAAATGATCCCACGCTAAGGTTCAAAATATGCCTTTTGAATTACCCTGGGATGTCTTCTTTAAGAAATGGTATGCCTTTATGGTGTAATTGGATTATATAGCCTTGTAAAATACTCTAAAATGGGATATGGACACAGCGTAACAATTCAAAATTTGAGAAAAACTGGAATGGCTGTGTCTCAAATGTGCCCATTCAATGTCCACATATACCTGGCAAAGGTACATACGGGGGTATTGCTGTACTCAGCCGGCATAGCTGAGCAACATATGAAGTAGTATACAGTCGTAGTACACTAAGGTTTGCAAAATATACTGCGCAAACTCATATTGTGTGTCAAAAAGGCAAAAAATTTGCTTATTACCACTACCCTTGGTACAAGCTAGCGGAAAAATTATCCAACACTAACGTTCAAAATATGCCTTTTGAAATACCCTGGGATGTGTTCTTTAAGAAATTGTATGCCTTTATGGTTTAGTTGTAATATGTAGCCTGCTCAAGTGCTCCAAAGTGGGACACAGATGCATCAAAACCCTCCATGAAAATTCATTGGTAAAAACCTTAACTTGTCACGTCTCTTTTACAGCAGTGTAACTTCACAAAATAGTGTCTAGGTCATACATTGGGCATATTGTTTTACTCAGAAGACTTAGCTGAGCATAATTTGGGGGGTTTGAACCAGGGCCGGACTGGCCCACCGGATACCGGGAAATTTCCCGCTGGGCCGGCACACTAGGGGGCCGGTGCGCGGCCGCCTAGTGTGCACCAGCCCGGGCTGCAATTACAGGGTGACCGGCAGGAGGGGATGCGCTCCCCTCCTGCTGGTCACAGAATGTAGCGTGGCCGAGTAGGCAGACCGCTGTAGGGAAGCTTCTGTTCCCCTACCCGGTCTGACAGGAAGCAGGAAGCGAGAACGCTCCTCCCGCGAGCAGGCAGGTTGGAGCGTTGCCGTGCGTTACCATGGCAACGCTCTGACCTGTCTGCTGTTCTCGCGGGAGTTGAGCAAAGTCAGCCTGCAGCCAGAGGAGCTGCAGGCTGAACAGCACGTGCCACCACTGGACCACCAGGGATCGAAGAGTAGCCGTCCCCCCTCTCCCCTGACCAAAGGTAAAGTGGGAGGGGGGTAAAATTAAGCTTTTTTTTTAATATATCAATGCCCATACACACTTCATATCCCCCCCCCATACACACACTACACCCCCTCCCCCACCAACAGCACCCCCACCAACAGCACCCCTCCCCCAACAGCACCCCTCCCCAACAGCACCCCTCCCCCACCAACAGCACCCCTCCCTCCTACCAACAGCACCTCCACCCCCACCAACAGCACCCTTCCCCCACCAATAGCACCCTTCCCCACCAACAGCACCCTTCCCCCCACCAACAGAACCCCTCCCCGCACACAGAACCCCTCCAAGCACACAGAACCCCTTCATGCTCACAGAACCCCTCCACGCTCACAGAACCCCTCCACGCACACAGAACCCCTCCACACACACACAGAACCCCTCCACTCACACACAGAACCCCTCCACGCACACAGAACCCCTCCACACACACAGAACCCCTCCACACACAAACGGCACTCTCTCCACACACACACACTAAACCGCTACACACACTGCACCCCCTCCAAATACACACCGCACACCCCTACACACTGAACCCCTACACACACTGCACTCCCCACACACTGAACACACACACGGCACCCCTCACTGTAGTCTGTGTGTGTGCGTGTATTCACCAGTCTGTGCACGTTCACTAGTCTGTGCGCGTGTAATCACCAATCTGTGTGTATATTCTGCAGTCTCTATATGTGTGTATTCAGCAGCCAGTGTATATATTCAGCAGTCTGTGTGTGTTTTTTGCGGTTTGTGTGTATTAAGCAGTCTTTCTCTGTGTGTAAGTATTGTATTTGTTTGGAGGTACCAATAAATATAAGCCTAATTTTATTGATAATTTATATTTTTATTTCTTGGAGTGGTTGCATAGTCAGGGTCCCAGTGCATTGGTTTGCCCAGTGGACTATTATGCTGTTACGATGGCCATGGTCTAGGGTATGTGTGTGCTCTGATGATCATGCTCCTACAAAATGTAAATGAAAAGACACTCATTTGAGTACCAGGAAGGGGATGAACAGTAACAGCCACTTCTGGCCAAGAAGAGATTAAAAACTTATGTATTTCTCTGTTTTGTTTTGGGTTTTTTTTTGCGATTTTTGTATCGCTGATGGGTGTCCAATTTTTATATTTTCAAAATCTGGTCACCCTAGACACATGGAAGATTGAGAGGGGGCATATGGACACATGGAGGACTGGGAATGAGGGCTAATAGGACATATGTGGGGGCTACTGGATTATATGCAAATGCACGTCTGCGTCTGCTTACAATAAATCTGCTCTGCTTTATTTTGAAGCCCTATAAGTGCTTTCTTTCATGTTTGAGTGCTAGTTTTCAGTTTTTTTCCCGCTTCCATATCTGCGCACTATGCTAGCGCGATGCATTATGGGGCTGGTATGGAATTTTTTTCCAGGGCTGCTTTTCATTACCAGTCCGGCCCTGGTTTGAACTTAGTGGCACATATGAAATGTACAAAATGCCCAGCAAAAATGTAATCCGTATGTAAAAAATGCCCAAAATTATTTTTTACCACATACTTTGGCATATATTGGTAAAAAAATGGGGGCATGTTAAGGCACAATATGCACCATATGAGATAACCTGGAGTGTCTACTTTTACAAATGGTAGGCCTTTGTGGGAGTTTTTTGAACAATCAAACTTCTATAATACCCCAAATTGAAGCATAGGCCCATTAAATCCGCCTCTCAAAATTCTACTGTAAATGTTGAAATTGACAGGTCTCCTATATGGCACTGTAGCTTCACGAAATAGTGCCAAAAACATACAATGGGGTTATTGTTGTACTCAGCAGAAGTAACTGAACACAAAATAAAACTTTGTACAAGAATAGCACACACCAACTTTACAAAATACACATGAGAAGTTCTTTCTTATAAGTTTTTGTTTGTAATACTATACTATTGTAATTTTGATGAAAAAACAATCCAAAAAAACTTACATTCCCCAAATTCATCCATCCAAAAAACAATGTAAATCTATTTCTATAGTTAAACCATGTGGTTGTAAAGTTGTTAACCAATTTATCCATTTTATTTTAGTTGATTACTCCCTTCCAATATGCCTGTTCTATTCCTACTAAACTGGAATTGTTTTTCATTTCAATGTAGGAGGACTGTATGTTTATTATATTTAAACATATATATATATATATATATTGATGTTCTAAAATTAATTCTTTAAGTTTTCTATCATTTCCTCCTATGTACTGTGTCCTTTAGGAGTGTGGATAGTAAAGATGAATGGGAAATTACTAGTAATGAATCATTTTATATAAAATACTCATAGTATTATTTCAAAATATATCCTTGTTGTCCAAACCGGAAGCCCATCAACTGTACTCCATCTTAGATTATGTGTAATTGGATTTTAGCAGTAGCTAATTCAACAATAATAAGCTAAGGAAGGAGTTTGTCCAGTGCTTCCAGCCTAGCATTGCAGATCAAAGGTCAATAGCAAATACGGACTTTCAATTCTGTATTAGACAACCCATAGCAGAGGGCCAAGTCTAGGTGCTGGAAAAATCTAAATACCAGTATATTGTTACAATGCATGGGGAAATACTCTTGATACTCTTGACCCTATGACCATTACATGAGTTGTTGAGCTTATGATGCTTAGAGGGGCACCTATTATCATTTTAGGTATCTATTGCACTATTCTATTTCCTGCAATTTATCAGCATAAATAGGTTCAATAATGTATTGAACGAATGTAGCCTACATAGCTATGTAGCTTGCCACTTCAGTTTCTGACAGTTAAGACAGTTTCTTTACTTTGGGCCAAATGTTTACATTACATATATTTGTTTTTATTGACTTAAGTGTTTTCTGATCCAACTTTTCTCAGTGTCCATTTATCTAATCATAATATACATAACCCAAACTGGTCATTCCTGACTGCTGTAGGGATATTTATGGGATGATAATATTATACAGTTGAGAATTGCCCACTATTTCAATTATCTTAGATCTTAGAGATCGTTATCATATAAGTGAAATGTATTCCATACAAATAAAATCACAATTTGTTATAAAAATAGATATAATTTATTGTGACAAATAAAATAATAATATTAGGCAGCATGCATGATATTAATCAGTGAATATTTAGTATAACATAAGTATGCAATATAATGGCTAGACACAGTACAAAGCTACAGCATCAACTGTCAAGACAAGATGAATGGGTACTTCTCAGACACCGAAAGCAAAACTTCACACAGCCCAGCGAAAAACCTTGGCTAACAGTTAAATCAACTGAGTAACCCTTTTAATGCTGGCTAGATCCTCCTAGGCATATAGTATCCTATTCTCATGTAATTTTCAATTGAAATAACATTCGAACCAGCTCATTAATCATTCCTGGAACCATCCAATAAGAATAATCTACCAGATTTTTACAAAAGCCGATTTTTTATTTGCTTAAAATGATATCTTATCTTATTTTAGAGTAAATCAATACACCTGGATAAAAACAACGGTATGCTAACACGTGATACTATCACATTAATATATAATTATTCTTAATTCCACCTGCAGAATGGAATGTTTATAACTATATATTCTTTAGTTAACTGAGATTTCTAATTATTGAAATCTGACCGTGATTTATCCAGTCATATATCATGCTATTAGATTTTAATTAATTTAGATTAATTAAATAAAACCAGCATAATTACCAGTTATGTAGGTATTCTTATCAGATGAGTAGGAAGTCCCAGAAACTTGAATGCAAGTATGATTGGTTGTATGGAGGTGTGTAAGTAATAGAGAAAAATGGTGTCGGTTAGAAAGTATCAGTAAAATTCTAAGTGTCAAGGAGTGTTTCTTGAGTTGTGTTCAAGAGAGTTTGAGAGTTGGATGTTAGTCCCAGAGAGTGTCCTGAATCTCTCTGTATGTCCGAATCTGAATGCCCAAAAACTAACCTTCTCTCTTCCCTTTGTCCTAACTTTTAAAGGCCAGACTCTCTGTACGTCTTTACTTGATAAGGCCAATAGGATACTGAAGGTGTGGTCAACCTGCAGATCGCAATTTAGGTATTTGATCCATAGAGGGCAGTCTCGCCTCACTAAACCTTCCTATCCAGGAAAGAGTTAACTTTTCCTGATGACGATTTTGACGTCATTTGGCTTATCTAAAATGACTACCATAACTTAAATTTGCGGTCAGTTCAAAGCGTTTGTTTCAGTCTTTGTGGCAACGACTTTGATCGTAATTTTTAAAATTGACAGTTCTAAACTCAATTTCACCTCTTACTCACAATGGGACCTTGTAAAAATTAGAAAGTAAGATTAATTACTTAGTCTTCTCGGTCACTAGTGTCTGTGTTTAAAATTATTTCTATTCCATTAACATTTAAACAGAGCATTCCACCCCCCTGCTTCATTGCTTATAACTTGGCTTGTTTATATAATGCATTACTTAGCTCAGGCTAGTGGCTAGTTACAGAAAGCAAGAATAAATGATGTGTCTTTGTTGGCCTGAAGATCCAAAATGGAGTCCTCTCTGTTCTGAGTGACTCTGGCAATGTACACTTTTAATTTCTATCTTAGCACAAAATGTCTGCCGATATAAATATCCTGACACTGCATTACAGATAGGCTATTTGTGCTTTTTCCTGATCACGTCTGGTGCCATAAAAAGTTACATGTTATTCTGAACTTTTAATGTTAATGTTTTTGTTTGACATCCAAAACTTAGTCTTATTATATTTGTACCAGACAGGATGACTTTTCAATCTTTTTGTTTAACCATGGTAGCATTTATATTTGATTAGACTTATGTTTAAGGAACACTATAGTCACCTAAATTACTTTAGCTAAATAAAGCAGTTTTAGTGTATAGATCATTCCCCTGCAATTTCACTGCTCAATTTACTGTAATTTAGGAGTTAAATCACCTTTTTTTCTGTTTATGCAGCCCTAGCCACACCTCCCCTGGCTATGATTGACAGAGCCTGCATGAAAAAAAAACTGGTTTCACTTTCAAACATGTAATTTACCTTAAATAATTGTATCTCAATCTCTAAATTGAACTTTAATCACAAACAGGAGGCTCTTGCAGGGTCTAGTAAGCTATTAACATAGCAGGGGATAAGAAAATCTTAATTAAACAGAACTTGCAATAAAGAAAGCCTAAAGAGGGCTCTCTTTACAGGAAGTGATTATGGAAGGCTGTGCAAGTCACATGCAGGGAGGTGTGACTAGGGTTCATAAACAAAGGGATTTAACTCCTAAATGGCAGAGGATTGAGCAGTGAGGCTGCAGGGGCATGTTCTATACACCAAAACTGCTTCATTAAGCTAAAGTTATTCAGGTGACTATAGTGTCCCTTTAAGACAGAAATACTGTATGAGGTCCATGGCTCACATTCAGTTAAAACACTTTAAACTGTTAGAAGCTTACAGTAAATGATTTTTGCTTTGATGTTGTAGATATGTTGATGCTTGATGCGTTACTTCTATGAAATCAGAAAGTAATAATAGTCATAATAAATGCTTATAGCAGACAATGATGCTATTTATAGATGAGTGTGTTAACACCCATGTGAAATATAAAAGCAGCCAGTTTGTGCCTAGAATGTGTGACTCTGCAGTGCAGACTGTACCTGGTATCTCGTCTTTACATCTCCTCTGTGAGAAGAATCATCATGTCTCATCACTCCATCCTTGGGATCTCTGGACACAAGCATTTCAGCTCCTGTTCAATGGCTTCAGCTAAACATGGGAGCTCACAGCACACATTCTCTCTCTCCTCCAACTCTGAAAATCATGGTAAGAAGTCAATACATTGCTTTAGCAGCAGAAGTGCCTGTGGTATGGGTTCCAAAGGACACAAAATCTCACTGGGAAGTTTTTATTCTGGGAAACATGGACATGCATCTGGACATGGATCTGGACATGGAGGTATTGGCTATGGATTTGGGGGATCAGCATGCTCTGGAGGCATCACCCCAGTTACTGTAAACCAAGGTCTTCTGGCCCCTCTCAACCTGGAGATTGACCCAAGCATCCAGAGAGTGAGGACTGATGAAAGAAATCAAATTAGGGGGTCTGAATGACAAATTTGCTTCTTTTATTGACAAGGTGAGTTTATTTTACATGATAAATAGACTAGAGAGAAACATCTAACCAGCAGAAGATACAATATATTTTTTTTTATTACACATCTTTCGAAAAGCCAATGCTCTTCTCTTGAATCACTATTATCCTCTCATGACATGTTCTATGAGAGGAACAGAGGAATTTACAATCTTTGTTTGCTGCATGAGGTTCCACGGATATGGCTTTTAAATAGTATTTATTGTAAATGTTGATTCTAACATCAACCTAAGCTGTCTTCATTCATGTTTTTTTTAATGTCTTCTAAGATTGAGTTCTAGTAAATTTGCTCCACAGACAATTATAAGAATTGCATGTTTGTTTGTTAATGGCTAATACGATAGCAGCTATATTTTCTATACCTCTGAATATTGAAGCAGTAATACTTTATAGTACATGTTAATTTTAAGTGTTTTGATTTGCATGTATATATATATATATATATATATTGACATATTTAAATTATATAACTTCTTTATAAAATGTGTTATTCAAGAAAGCTAAATTAAAATCAAATAAGTAATGAAATTATTTCCAATCAACTTTCTAATTTGAACTTAGGTGCGATTTCTGGAACAACAAAATAAAATGTTGGAGACTAAGTGGGCTCTCTTACAAGAACAAAAAACTGCCCATTATCAAATTGAACCCCTGTTTGAAGCTTTTATCAGTAACCTTAGGAGACAGCTGGGAAACCTGGGATGTGAGAGAGAACGTCTAGAAGCAGAAAGGAACAATATGGAACAATCTGTGGAAGAATTACGGGGAAGGTATGTTGTTTTTTGTTTGTTTGATTTTTAAACAATCAATTTATATAGCTATATTCATGCATTTACCCAGAAACAAATTTTTCTGTATAATCTCTAGTATATTATTTCACTGTTAAAAATGAAAAAAATATTTTCTAAAGGGGCACTATATATATATATAAAACCACTGTAATTTATTGTAGTGGATTTAAAGCAAACAATTTTGAGGCAAAAAAAGAGACTTCTGCCCACCAAGTTCTGCTTTTTTCACATATGTTTTTGCTGTTGATCCAAAAGAAGGCAAAACACCCAGTCTGAAGCGCTTTCAGTTTTTCAACAAATTGGGAAACACAATTCCTTCTTGAGCCCAAAATGGCAGTCATATTTATCCTTGGATCAAGCAGCTATTACCCCACTAATTAGAAATGATATCCCTTGATATTATGTTTCTGAAGTATTTATCAAATTGCTGCTGAAACATCTGTATGGACTCTGATAAATCCACATCTTCATGCAGGGAATCCCACATTCTTATTGTTCTTACTAGAAAAAAAAACAAAAAACACACTTTTCCTTGCCTTAGATGAAATCTCCATTCTTCCAGACTAAATGCGTGTCCTATGTACAGCTCTGTTTATGAATAGATTTCCAGATAATAGTTTGTATTAGCCCCGAATATATTTGTATAATGTTATCATATCCCCTCTGAGACACCATTTTTCCAAACTAAAGAGATTTAAATATTTTAACTTTTCTTTATAACTAAAATGCTCTATTCTACAGCTGCATTAGCCTGTCCAACTTTGGACAGCAACAATTGCCTGAAACTGCTAACAGTGTGCTCAGTGCAATGTCTGCCATTACCACCCAAAGCAGAGAGATTGCAAGAATGGGGAGATCTCTGTTTTTGAGAGACTGCTAGAGAACAATATGACATAACCTGAGGAAATTTGCTGAAAGACTATTTGCACTGTCAGTGCTAAAATAAAACATAGTTGCCAAGGATACTTGCAGGTTTACTTGCTAACGTGAGACTGCAAAGTGACATCAAAGTGAATTTCAAATTTAAGGTCAGAGTAGCCTAAGTGAATGTATAGTTGACTTATAGTATAGTTGACGTATAGTTGACCAGTTCAGCTGTTTGACCTTAAAATTGAAATTTAGTTTGAATATTCCTTTTAGTAAATAACCAGATTGACCTTTTAACATGTACACTAGCAAAACATTTAATTAAAACTGAATTCATTAAGAAGAAAGGTTTCTGCTATGTAGCAATTCTTAATAAATATTAGTAATATTTAATATTCTAGGTATGAAGAAGAAGTGAACAGACGCACCGCGGCAGAAAATGAGTTTGTTGGACTAAAAAGGGTAAAAAGGAAACTCTATAGATTTCTAAAATGTAAATGAATAAATTATTATAGAACAGTAGCAATCCCCTTAATGTATATATTTCCTTACTTCAGGATGTAGACGCAGCTTTTATGAACAGAGCTGAGTTACAAGGAAAGGCTGAGTCCCTGACTGATGAGATCAACTTCTTGAGGACTCTGTATGATGCGGTAAATATATTTTCAGATATTTCATATCTGGAATTTACTTAAAAGATTTTATTTTCTTGCATATTTGAAAAGTTCCATAAAAACACTTTATCTGCTTTTTAATTTCTAGGAAATTTCCCAGCTCCAGGCTCAGATCTCAGACACCTCAGTGGTTGTGTCCATGGATAACAGTCGGGATCTGGACCTGGATGGAATCATTGCTGAGGTCAGATCTCAATATGAGGACATAGCTAACAGAAGCAGAGCTGAGGCGGAGGCCATGTACCAGTCACGGGTGAGTCGATTGAAGCTCAAACGCCAACTGAATAGTATGCAGATTATTATTCACAGAGTAGCATAAAACCAAAGCACATTATATGTTTCACTTTTTGGGCAGTTTGAGGAGCTTCGTACAGCTGCAGGAAGAAATGGAAATAATCTGCAGAGCAGCCGAGATGAGATCTGTGAGCTGAATCGAACAATTCAAAGAATGAAGGGAGAGATTGACAGTGTGAAGGCTCAGGTAAAACTAGGGGACACATGAGTTACTAAGGTACTAATAAAGCATAACTGACTGAAACCCATACATATTGAATTACATGTAAGGCAGAGACATATTGAATAGTTTTTAATTATGATTATTGGAAAAAACAATTAAAAAAGCAAGTAACTTATTGGAATATTAAATGGTTTATTAGCGCTCTGCACTTGAATCAGCAATAAATGAAGCTGAGGAACGTGGAGAATCTGCTGTCAGAGATGCCAAGAACAAACTGTCTGAGCTGGAAGGTGCTCTACAGAAGGCCAAGCAGGACATGGCTCGCCAACTGCGAGAATACCAGGAGTTGATGAATGTGAAACTGGCTTTGGATATTGAGATCGCCACCTACAGGAAGATGCTGGAAGGAGAGGAGGGCAGGTGAGTTACGAAGTCCTTAACAAATTAATTATCCGTGTATGACAGTGGGTTGATTTCACTGATGCAAGATATTTTATGCCATGCTGCATTCTAAGGAATTAATGTTCTATTTATTTCATTGTGTTCTGTCCGTGCGAGCAAGGCTTGATACCCTTATTCCAAAAGTGTCCATTAATACCTGAGATTATTAATTTTAGCTGGAGAAATTTAAGATCCCTGCACTGACTAGTGAAATGTAATTTATTTAAAAAAAAGACATACCTTTTGCATTGACAATTGAACTTCCTTGTTCATCAGTCCTCAATTATGGTATCATCACTGACATCCACAAGTTAGCAACCAGAGAAGAGCTCACAGGGTCTGAGGAGTTTCCCGATGATCACCATGCATGTGCTAAAAAGTTTCAGAGCTTGGGCCCATAGCACAAGGAAGGAAATATGTTTTTCTACTCTGCTCCTTGTATTTTAAAACATTATCAAGGATGTTAAAGTATTGTGCATGATCCAGGCATACCGTAGTGATGCTATCGCTATAGTTATCATGTTATTAAAATATCTCTGAGCCATTATGTAATAGAGAGGAAAAGGTTTAAAATGATGTCAAAGTGAAAAAGAATAACACATTTTATGAACCATGTGTATTTTCTTATAAAAGATGATAGAGCAGAAACTCATATCGAGTGGGTTTATATTAAGAGAAAAAGAGAATGTGAAGAAATATTGTTTTAAAAAGTTATAATTAATTTGAACTATAACACAGTGCCCCATTAAAATGGCCTTGTGTATAAAGGGACAACATAGAAACATAGAATGTGACGGCAGATAAGAACCATTTGGCCCATCTAGTCTGCCCAATTTTCTAAATGCTTTCATTAGTCCCTAGCCTTATCTTATAGTTAGGATAGCCTTATGCCTATCCCACGCATGCTTAAACTCCTTTACTGTGTTAACCTCTACCACTTCAGCTGGAAGGCTATTCCATGCATCCACTACCCTCTCAGTAAAGTAATACTTCCTGATATTATTTTTAAACCTTTGTCCCTCTAATTTAAGACTATGTCCTCTTGTTGTGGTAGTTTTTCTTCTTTTAAATATAGTCTCCTCCTTTACTGTGTTGATTCCCTTTATATATTTAAATGTTTCTATCATATCCCCCCCGTCTCGTCTTTCCTCCAAGCTATACATGTTAAGATCCTTTAACCTTTCCTGGTAAGTTTTATCCCGCAATCCATGAACCAGTTTAGTAGCCCTTCTCTAAAATGGTTCATGGATTGCAGGATAAAACAACCACATTGGAAATTTCATTACAAGTATTCGCTCCTGTTAGCTAATTAGAGAGATAATTATCCACTACTAAAATAATGTGTTTATGTTTTATTTCAGGATGACTGCTCATGGTTCCGTTAATATATGTAAGTGATACAATACTTGAGAACATTGAATCTTAGAACAAAAATCTCTCCATACATTTCTTTCTATTGATACAGACAGTATTATCAATAGTTATTAAGGTGTTAGGTATTTGTATTTATTGTCATTTCTATTTGGATAATAACTTGTAGCATTATTGTGTTTCAGCCGTGCTTCACTCCAGCACTGGAGGAAAACACAGCTCAGGAGAGAAGTCCCACGGTACTAGTGGCCAACATTACAGTGGAGGATCCAGCGCAAGCATCTCGAAAAGCAGAAACAGCTCTGGCCACGGACACCACTGCTAAAGTTCAATAGATGCACTTCAGGGTTATTCAATAAATTTGAGTTTAACATTTCTAACCAAAAAAGACAAAATTTTAAATATTGTCAACTATGATTTGGATTTATCTATTTTTTTGTAATCTAAAATTTGAAATGATCTTTGAATTCACTTTTAATTCCCCCCAAAAAATCACACTTCAGTTAATAACCCTGATAGAAATTGCCAGTGTGATAGCTCAGTGGGCTAATGCATCATCAGTAGAATCTGTTCAACCCAGTAGGGTTGACTCAGCCCTTCATCCTTCCGAGGTAGATAAAATGAGTACCATTAAATTGGGTAATAGTAACAACCCCTGGATGTTGGGCTATGGTAACATCCCCAAGACGTACTTGAAAACTATAGTAATCTGAATGTGCCTTTCCTGGTTAAATACTTTGTTATTATTATTATTAAATTGCTAAAATGAAAGCATAGATTTTAGTGAAAGCACTAATTTTGATTTTAAGGTGCATTTATTGCTTAATTTTCTTGCAGTTCAAACATATTAATCAACTTCCTTTCTGTTTAATTGTCTTTATTTCGTTTGAATACAATAATCACTTGTTTCTTATCGGTAATGTGTCTCTGCAATAAAACTTTACTCATTGAAAAATCTTATTAATGTTTTTATTATTTTCCTTAACCCCTTCCCGACCGCAGATGGAAATTTTCCGTCAACCTTGTCCTTCAGTTAAGGACCGTTAACGGAAAATTTCCATCATTTACTAAAGTCAACCCCAGATCGCCGTGATCGCGGCGATCGCGGGGTTAAAGGTGCTTCGGTCTGCCTCTGTATTAGGCTGCCCCAACACCGGTGCTCGCCCCAGCCACCCTGCACTTCCGGGTTCTGTGTGAAGTGCAGGGAGACGGATCTTCTCCCTGTGTAAAAAAAATAAATAAAGTTAAATCCCACCCCCCTTTCCCCTGCTTTAATAAAATTAACCCCTTCCCTGCCAATTGATCACTGACTACAGTGATCAATTGGCAGGGTATATATACATTTTAATGTCATCTGATTTATTTTTTTTAACCCCTGAGGGTTAATTAGTTTTTTTTTTAACCCTCAGGGATTAAATTTATTTGATTAATTCATTTAAATTTTGAAAAATTATATATTTAGCTAGCTGGGATGGGTGGAAGTTAGTGGGGAAGTGGGGAATTTGGTGTTTGGCTAACTAGGGGTTAACGTTAAAAAAGTTTTAAAATAAGCTTTAAATGGTAAATAAAAGTTTTTAAAAATGTTTTAGCAACGTTTAAGTAAAAAAAAAATACCACCCCCCTTTTCCCAGTCTAAATAAAAATTAACCCCTTCCCTGCCAGTTTATCACTGCCTACAGTGATCAAAATAGAGATCACAGTATTATACTGTAGTCTCATTTCTTTTGACCCCAGAAGATTAACCTTTATTTATTTTTTAACCCTCAGGGGTTCAATTTATTTAATTAATTAGTTAAAATATTTTATAATTATATATATTTTGCTAGCTGGAGTGGGTGGGAGTTATGGCAAAGGGGGGAATTTACTGTTAGTGCTGCTTACTGCTAGTTAGGGGTTAATGGTAAAAGAAAAGTTTAGAAAAAAATGTAAAAGTGTAAAAAAGTTAAGAAAGTGTAAAACATTTAATAAGTAAAAAAAAAGTTTAGAAATGGGTTTTACAAAGTAAAAAAAGTTTTACAAAATAAAAAAATACATTAAAAAATGCTCATTACCACTACACTTGCTACAAGCTAGTGGAAAAATGATCACACGCTAACATTCAAAATATGCCTTTTGAATTACCCTGGGATGTCTTCCTTAAGAAATGGTATGCATTTATGGGGTAATTAGATTATATAGCCTTGTAAAATACTCTAAAATGGGACATGGATACAGCGTAAAAATTCAAAGTTTGAAAAAAACTGGAATGGCTTTGTCCCAAATGTACCCCTCCGATGTCCACATATACCAGGCAAAGGTACATACGGGGGTATTGCTGTACTCAGCCGACATAGCTGAGCAACATATGAAGTATTATACAGTCGTAGCACACATACGATTTGCTAAATATACTGTGCAAACTCATTTTGTGTGTCAAAAGGCAAAAAATGTGCTTATTACCACTACACTTGGTACAAGCTAGCGGAAAAATTATCCCACACTAACGTTCAAAATATGCCTTTTGAAATACCCTGGGATGTGTTCTTTAAGAAATGGTATGCCTTTATGGTGTAGTTGTAATATGTAGCCTGCTCAAGTGCTCCAAAGTGGGACACAGACGCATCAAAACCCTCCATGAAAATTCATTGGTAAAAACCTTAACTTGTCACGTCTCTTTTACAGCAGTCTAACTTCACAAAATAATGTCTAGGTCATACATTGGGCATATTGTTTTACTCAGAAGACTTAGCTGACCATAATTTGGGGGGTTTGAATTTAGTGGCACATATGAAATGTACAAAATGCCCAGCAAAAATGTAATCCGTATGTAAAAAATGCCCAAAATTATTTTTTACCACATACTTTGGTATATATTGGTAAAAAAAAATGGGGGCATGTTAAGGCACAATATGCACCATAGGAGATACCCTGGAGTGTCTACTTTTACAAATGGTAGGCCTTTGTGGGAGTTTTTTGAACAGTCAAACTTCTATAATACCCCAATTTGAAGCATAGGCCCATTAAATCCGCCTCTCAAAATTCTACTGTAAATGTTGAAACGGACAGGTCTCCTATATGGCACTGTAGCTTCACGAAATAGTGCCAAAAACATACAATGGGGGTATCGTTGTACTCAGCAGAAGTAACTGAACACAAAATAAAACTTTGTACAAGAATAGCACACACCAACTTTACAAAATACACATTAGAAGTTCTTTCTTATAAGTTTGTGTTTGTAATACTATACTATTGTAATTTTGATGAAAAAACAATCCAAAAAAGCTTACATTCCCCAAATTCATCCATCCAAAAAACAATGTAAATCTATTTCTATATTTAAACCATGTGGTTGTAAAGTTGTTAACCAATTTATCCATTTTATTTTAGTTGATTACTCCCTTCCAATATGCCTGTTCTATTCCTACTAAACTGGAATTGTTTTTCATTTCAATGTAGGAGGACTGTATGTTTATTATATTTAAAAAATAAGTAAATAAATAAATATATATATATATATATATATATATGTATAACAGTCAGTGGATCTATGCACTCACGCTTAAAGAATGTTGAAAAATAAAGTACTTGCCGGGTGCCAGTCCCATGGGGCAATAGGTAGTAGTAACAAAAGGTTCTGGACTGCACTTACGGTCTTAAAGTTGAAAATGTTTCTTTATTCCATATAACAAATCGACGTTTCGGTCCACGCAGGGACCTTCCTCAGGATCAAATGACATCATTTGATCCTGAGGAAGGTCCCTGCGTGGACCGAAACGTCGATTTGTTATATGGAATAAAGAAACATTTTCAACTTTAAGACCGTGAGTGCAGTCCAGAACCTTTTGTTACTACTATATATATATATATATATATATATATATATATTGATGTTCTAAAATTCATTCTTTAAGTTTTCTATCATTTCCTCCTATGTACTGTGTCCTACAGGAGTGTGGATAGTAAATATGAATGGGAAATTACTAGTAATGTATCATTTTATATAAAATACTCATAGTATTATTTCATAATATATCCCTGTTGTCCGAACCGGAAGCCCATCAACTGTACTCCATCTTAGATTATGTGTAATTGGATTTTAGCAGTAGCTAATTCTAATTTAGTAATTAGTAATTAGTAATTCTAATTCAGTAGCTAAATAGCTAAAATAATAAGCTAAGGAAGGAGTTTGTCCAGTGCTTCCAGCCTAGCATTGCAGACCAAAGGTAAATAGCAAATACGGACATTCAGTTCTGTATTAGACAACCCATAGCAGAGGGCCAAGTCTAGCTGCTGGAAAAATCTAAATACCAGTATATTGATACAATCCATGGGGAAATACTCTTGATACTCTTGACCCTATGGCCATTACATGAGTTGTTGAGCTTATGATGCTTAGAGGGGCACCTATTATCATTTTAGGTATCTATTGCACTATTCTCTTTCCTGCAATTTATCAGCATAAATAGGTTCAATAATGTATTGAAAGAATGTAGCCTACATAGCTATGTAGCTTGCCACTTCAGTTTCTGACAGTTAAGACCGTTTCTTTACTTTGGGCCAAATGTTTACATTACATATATTTGTTTTTATTGACTTAAGTGTTTTCTGATCCAACTTTTCTCAGTGTCCATTTATCTAATCATAATCTACATAACCCAAACTGGTCATTCCTGACTGCTGTGGGGATATTTATGGGATAATAATATTATACAGTTGAGAATTGCCCACTATTTCAATTATCTTAGAGATCGTTATCATATAAGTGAAATGTATTCCATACAAATAAAATCACAATTTGTTATAAAAATAGATATAATTTATTGTGACAAATAAAATAATAATATTAGGCAGCATGCATGATATTAATCAGTGAATATTTAGTATAACATAAGTATGCAATATAATGGCTAGACACAGTACAAAGCTACAGCATCAACTGTCAAGACAAGATGAATGGGTACTTCTCAGACACCAAAAGCAAAACTTCACACAGCCCAGCGAAAAACCCTGGCTAACAGTTAAATCAACTGAGTAACCCTTTCTATGCTGGCTAGATCCTCCTAGGCATATAGTATCCTATTCTCATGTAATTTTCAATTTAAATAACATTCGAACCAGCTCATTAATCAATTCCTGGAACCATCCAATAAGAATAATCTACCAGATTTTTACAAAAGCTGAATTTTAATTTGCTTAAAAAGATATCTTATCTTATTTTAGAGTAAATCAATACACCTGGATAAAAACAGCGGTATGCTAACACGTGATACTACTTTATAACTATATATTCTTTTGTTAACTAAGATTTCTAATTATTGAACTCTGACCGTGATTTATCCAGTCATATATCATGCTATTAGATTTTAATTAATTTAGATTAATTAAATAAAACCAGCATAGTTACCAATTATGTAGGTATTCTCATCAGATGAGTAGGAAGTCCCAGAAACTTGAATGCAAGTATGATTGGTTTTATGGAGGTGTGTAAGTAATAGAGAAAAGTGGTGTCGGTTAAAAAGTATCAGTAAAATTCTAAGTGTCAAGGAGTGTTTCTTGAGTTGTGTCCAAGAGAGTTTGAGAGTTGGATGTTAGTCCCAGAGAGTGTCCTGAATCTCTCTGTATGTCCGAATCTGAATGCCCAAAAACTAACCTTCTCTCTTCCCTTTGTCCTAACTTTTAAAGGGCCAGACTCTCTGTACGTCATTAATTGATAAGGCCAATAGGATACTGAAAGTGTGGTCAATCTGCAGATCGCAATTTAGGTATTTGATCCATAGAGGGCAGTCTCGCCTCACTAATCCTTCCTATCCAGGAAAGAGTTAACTTTTCCTGATGACGATTTTGACGTCATTTGGCTTATCTAAAATGACTACCATAAATTAAATGTGCGGTCAGTTCAAAGCGTTTGTCTCAGTCTTTGTGGCAACGACTTTGATCGTAATTTCTAAAATTGACAGTTCTAAACTCAATTTCACCCCTTACAATGGGACCTTGTAAAATTTAGAAAGTAAAATTAATTACTTAGTCTTCTCCGTCACTAGTGTCTGTGTTTATAAAATTATTTCTATTCCATTAACATTTAAACAGAGCATTCCACCGCCCTGCTTCATTGCTTATCACTTGGCTTGTTTATATAATGCATTCCTAAGCTCAGGCTAGTGGCTAGTTACAGAAAGCAAGAAGAAATTATGTGTCTTTGTTGGCCTGAAGATCCAAAATGGAGTCCGCTCTGTTCTGAGTGACTCTGGCAATGTACACTTTTAATTTCTATCTTAGCACAAAATATCTGCTGATATAAATATCCTGACACTGCCTTACAGCTATGCTATTTGTGCTTTTTCCTGATCACGTCTGGTGCCATAAAAAGTTACATGTCATCCTGAACTTTTAATGTTAATGTTTTTGTTTGACATTCAAAACTTAGTCTAATGATATTTGTACCAGACAGGATGACTTTTTAATCTTTTTGTTTAACCATGGTAGCATTTATATTTGATTAGACTTATGTTAAAGGAACACTATAGTCACCTAAATTACTTTAGCTAAATAAAGCAGTTTTAGTGTATAGATCATTCCCCTGCGATTTCACTGCTCAATTCACTGTCATTTAGGAGTTAAATCACGTTGTTTCTGTTTATGCAGCCCTAGCCACACCTCCCCAGGCTATGATTGACAAAGCCTGCATGAAAAAAAAACTGGTTTCACTTTCAAACATGTAATTTACCTTAAATAATTGTATCTCAATCTCTAAATTGAACTTTAATCACAAACAGGAGTCTCTTGCAGGGTCTAGCAAGCTATTAACATAGCAGGGGATAAGAAAATCTTAATTAAACAGAACTTGCAATAAAGAAAGCCTAAATAGGGCTCTCTTTACAGGAAGTGTTTATGGAAGGCTGTGCAAGTCACATGCAGGGAGGTGTGACTAGGGTTCATAAACAAAGGGATTTAACTCCTAAATGGCAGAGGATTGAGCAGTGAGGCTGCAGGGGCATGTTCTATACACCAAAACTGCTTCATTAAGCTAAAGTTATTCAGGTGACTATAGTGTCCCTTTAAGACAGAAATACTGTATGAGGTCCATGGCTCACATTCAGTTAAAACACTTTAAACTATTAGAAGCTTACAGTAAATGATTTTTGCTTTGATGTTGTAGATATGTTGATGCTTGATGCGTTACTTCTATGAAATCAGAAAGTAATAACATTCACAATAAATGCTTATAGCAGACAATGATGCTATTTATAGGTGAGTGTGTTAACACCCATGTGAAATATAAAAGCAGCCAGTTTGTGCCTAGAATGTGTGACTCTGCAGTGCAGACTGTACCTGGTATCTCATCTTTACATCTCCTCTGTGAGAAGAATCATCATGTCTCATCACTCCATAGTTGGGATCTCTGGACACAAGCATTTCAGCTCCTGTTCAATGGCTTCATCTAAACATGGGAGCTCACAGCACACATTCTCTCACTCCTCCAACTCTGCAAATCATGGTAAGAAGTCGATACATTGCTTTAGCAGCAGAAGTGCCTGTGGTATGGGTTCCAAAGGACACAAAAGCTCACTGGGAAGTTTTTATTCTGGGAAAAATGGACACGCATCTGGACATGGATCTGGACATGGAGGTATTGGCTATGGATTTGAGGGATCAGCATGCTCTAGAGGCATCACCCCAGTTACTGTAAACCAAGGTCTTCTGGCCCCTCTCAACCTGGAGATTGACCCAAGCATCCAGAGAGTGAGGACTGATGAAAGAAATCAAATTAGGGGTCTGAATGACAAATTTGCTTCTTTTATTGACAAGGTGAGATTATTTGACATGATAAGTAGACTAGAGAGAAACATCTAACCAGCAGAAGATACAATATATTTTTTTTTATTACACTATTATCCTATCATGACATGTCCTATAAGATGAACAGAGGAATTTACAATCTTTGCTTGCTGCAAGAGGTTCCACGGATATGGCTTTTAAATAGTATTTATTGTAAATGTTGATTCTAACATAAACCTAAGCTGTCTTCATGTTTTTTTAATGTCTTCTAAGATTGAGTTCTAGTAAATTTGCTCCACAGACAATTATAAGAATTGTATGTTTGTTTGTTCATGGCTAATACGATAGCAGTTATATTTTCTATACCTCTGAATATTAAAGCAGTAATACTTTATAGTACATGTTCATTTTAAGTGTTTTGATTTGCATGCATATATATATATATATATATATAGACACATTCAAATTCTATAACTTCTTTATAAAATGTGATATTCAAGAAAGCTAAATTAAAATCAAATAAGTAATGAAATTCTTTTCAATAAACTTTCTAATTTAACCTTAGGTGCGATTTCTGGAACAACAAAATAAAATGTTGGAGACTAAGTGGGCTCTCTTACAAGAACAAAAAACTGCCCATTATCAAATTGAACCCCTGTTTGAAGCTTTTATCAGTAACCTTAGGAGACAGTTGGGAAACCTGGGATGTGAGAGAGAACGTCTAGAAGCAGAAAGGAACAATATGGAACAATCTGTGGAAGAACTACGGGGAAGGTATGTTGTTTTTTGTTTGTTTGATTTTTAAACAATCAATTTATATAGCTATATTCATGCATTTACCCAGAAACAAATTTTTCTGTATAATCTCTAGTATATTATTTCACTGTTAAAAATGAAAATAAAATTTTCTAAAGGGGCACTCTATATATATATATATATATATATATATATATATATATATATATATATATATATAAAACACTGTAATTTATTGTAGTGGATTTAAAACAAAATATTTTGAGGCAAAAAAAGAAACTTCCGCCCATCAAGTTCTGCTTTTTTCACATATGTTTTTGCTGTTGATCCAAAAGAAGGCAAAACACCCAGTCTGAAGCGCTTTCAGTTTTGCAAAAAATTGGGAAACACAATTCCTTCTTGACCCAAAATGGCAGTCAGATTTATCCTTGGATCAAGCAGCTTTTACCCCACTAATTAGAAATTATATCCCTTAATATTATGTTTCTGAAGTATTAGCAAATTGCTGCTGAAACATCAGTATAGACTCTGATAAATCCACATCTTCATGCAGGAAATCCCACATTCTTTTTGTTCTTACTGTAAAAAAAAAAAAAAACACTTTTCCTTGCCTTAGATGAAATCTCCTTTCTTCCAGCCTAAATGCGTGTCCTATGCATAGCTCTGTTTATGAATAGATTTCCAGATAATGGTTTATACTGGCCCCGAATATATTTGTATAATGTTATCAGATCCCCTCTGAGACACCATTTTTCCAAATTAAAGAGATTTAAATATTTTAACTTTTCTTATATACTCCTTTTAGTAAATAACCAGATTGAACTTTTAACATGTACACTAGCAAAACATTTAATTAAAACTGAATTCCATTAAGAAGAAAGGTTTCTGCTACATAGCAATTCTTAATAAATGTTATTAATATTTAATATTTTAGGTTTGAAGAAGAAGTGAACAGACGCACCGCGGCAGAAAATGAGTTTGTTGGACTAAAAAGGGTAAAAAAGGAAACTCTATAGATTTCTAAAATGTAAATGAATAAATCATTATAGAACAGTAGCAATCCCCTTAATGTATATATTTCCTTATTTCAGGATGTAGACGCAGCTTTTATGAACAGAGCTGAGTTACAAGGAAAGGCTGAGTCCCTGACTGATGAGATCAACTTCTTGAGGACTCTGTATGATGCGGTGAATATATTTTCATATATTTCATTTCTGGAATTTACTTAAAAGATTTTATTTTCTTTCATATTTGAAAAGTTCCATAAAAAACATTTTATCTGCTTTTTAACTTTCTAGGAAATTTCCCAGCTCCAGGCTCAGATCTCAGACACCTCAGTGGTTGTGTCCATGGATAACAGTCGGGATCTGGACCTGGATGGAATCATTGCTGAGGTCAGATCTCAATATGAGGACATAGCTAACAGAAGCAGAGCTGAGGCGGAGGCCATGTACCAGTCACGGGTGAGTCGATTGAAGCTCAAACGCCAACTGAATAGTATGCAGATTATTATTCACAGAGTAGCATAAAACCAAAGCACATTATATGTTTCACTTTTTGGGCAGTTTGAGGAGCTTCGTACAGCTGCAGGAAGAAATGGAAATAATCTGCAGAGCAGCCGAGATGAGATCTGTGAGCTGAATCGAACAATTCAAAGAATGAAGGGAGAGATTGACAGTGTGAAGGCTCAGGTAAAACTAGGGGACACATGAGTTACTAAGGTACTAATAAAGCATAACTGACTGAAACCCATATATATTGAATTACATGTAAGGCAGAGCCATATTGAATAGTTTTTAATTATGATTATTGGAAAAAACAATTAAAAAAGCAAGTAACTTATTGGAATATTAAATGGTTTATTAGCGCTCTGCACTTGAATCAGCAATAAATGAAGCTGAGGAACGTGGAGAATCTGCTGTCAGAGATGCCAAGAACAAACTGTCTGAGCTGGAAGGTGCTCTACAGAAGGCCAAGCAGGACATGGCTCGCCAACTGCGAGAATACCAGGAGTTGATGAATGTGAAACTGGCTTTGGATATTGAGATCGCCACCTACAGGAAGATGCTGGAAGGAGAGGAGGGCAGGTGAGTTACTGAGTCCTTAACAAATTAATTATCTGTGTATGACAGTGGGTTGATTTCACTGATGCGAGATATTTTATGGCATGCTGCATTCTAAGGAATTAATGTTGAAATCAATATCAATATGGAAAGGTGAGGGTGACTCTGGGTGTGTTATATGGTTAAATTTTTGAATCCCCTCAAAAAAGAGAAAAAAAGAAAACTTAGAGGTGGATTAAAAACAAATGAATCAAGGAAAGAGCCCACTCAGACATGCAACCTTGCTGCAAATGAATGATCAAATGTGCAAAACTGCTAAACTGCTAATGCTATAACTCTCCTCATAAGATATCACCATCCCAGGCTGATGCTTGAATTCATATGGTATAAGTAGGAGAGAAAGTTGTGTCTGTGAAGTGCACACGGATCATTTACAAAGTAGCTAGAGCACTCAGTTATATTGAAGTCAACACTAAGTGGATACAAAGTATGTATTACCTTGTATACTTTCAAAGAATTAGACCTCAGTGTGGAGTTGGCGTGGTGAGGAGGGAGAAAGGGACTAATCTCTCATACAGCGTGCGGAATAGTATCGCTATCGATAGCCAGAACTCTGTATGACATCCCTGTCGCCATCCCACACACCCACTGCAAGAAAGGATGATACTAAGCTGATTATCTAAGAAATCTATGATTATGAGCGCAATCACCTAACCAAAATTTAACTAGCTATCTAACACGTGTTTCGGAGCTGCTACACGCGCCTTCTTCCGAGACAAATAACCATATAACCCACCCAGAGTCATCCTCACCTTTCCATATTGATTTTAATCAATATATTCCTTTCACTTTTCTTTTTTAAGCAGTAACTATTAAAAGTTAAATTTTAGCTGCACACACCATTATAGCAACTAATTAGGGGGCGCCCTATTTCCTTTGACCACCTTGGTCTTTCCTTTCTTTTTCTTATATTAAGAGAAAAAGAGAATGTGAAGAAATATTGTTTTAAAAAGTTATAATTAATTTGAACTATAACACAGTGTCCCATTAAAATGGCCTTGTGTATAAAGGGACAACATAGAAACATAGAATGTGACGGCAGATAAGAACCATTCGGCCCATCTAGTCTTCCCAATTTTCTAAATGCTTTCATTAGTCCCTGGCCTTATCTTACAGCTAGGATAGCCTTATGCCTATCCCGTGCATGCTTAAACTCCTTTACTGTGTTAACCTCTACCACTTCAGATGGAAGGCTATTATATATATGATCTAAGTATATATATATACACATATACATACACACACGTACACTGTATAGGTGTATTTTACTATTAATATATATATAATTATATATATATATATTAATATCAAATTACACATAGACTGATACTGATTAAATATATATATAATTATTGTTATATATATATATATATATATATTTATATATAATATAAAAAATATGTAAATACGTTAAAAAATAATAAAAAAATTATAAAAAAATAATTAAAAAATATATAGATGTATGTTATTTCTTTCTAACTGTATTGTGATATTAATATATATATATATATATATTTATTTTAAAATACACATAGTACGAAATAATATATATATCTATATACATAAATATATATGTATATATCACTATATATATACCTATATATAAATAAAAATATTTTTAAAAAATTATATATATATATATATATATACATATATATTCACATATGTATATATATATATATATATATATATATATATATATATATATATATATATATATATATATATATATATATATATATACACATATACACACACACACACATTAATTCTACATATATATTTATGTAATATTTTTACATAATTGGGTATCTTAATTAATTACAATTAGCGGGACCTGCCTGACAACCCATGCCGAAAGTAAAGGGAATTTAATTTGATAGCACTATATTTAACCCTATAACTTTCCAAGACACCATAAAACCTGTACATGGGGGGTACTGTTCTACTCGGGGGACTTTGCTGAATACAAATATTAGTGTTTCAAAATAGTAAAACGTATTACAACGATGATATCGCCAGTAAAAGTGACCTTTTTTGCATTTTTCATGCACAAAGAGCACTTACACGGACGATATTATTGCTGCGATAATTTTTACTGTTTTGAAACACAAATATTTGTGTTCAGCGAAGTCTCCCGAGTACAACAGTACCCCTCATGTACAGGTTTTATGGTGTTTTCAAAAGTTACAGCGTCAAATATAAGGCTTGTGTTTCATTTTTTTCACATTAAAATTTGCCAGATTGGGAACGTTGCCTTTGAGACCCTATGGTAGCCCAAGAATGAAAATTACCCATATGATGGCATACCATTTGCAATAGTAGACAACCCAAGGTATTGCAAACGGGGTATTTACAGTCTTTTATAGTAGCCACTTAGTCACAAACACTGGCCAAAATTGGCGTTTTTGCATTTTTCACACACAAACAAATACTAACGCTAACTTTGGCCAGTGTTTGTGACCAAATGGCTACTAAAAAGACTGGACATACCCCATTTGCAATACCTTGGGTTGTCTACTATTGCAAATGGTATGCCACTATGGGTGTAAATGTAATTCCTGGGCTACTATAAAGTCCCAAAGGCAACGTAACCAATCTGGCGAATTTCAATTTCAAATGTAATGTGCTATATTTGACACTGTAACTTCCCAAAACACCATAACACCTGTACATAGGGGGTACTGTTTTACATGTGATACTTTGCTGAATACAAATATGTGTATTTTATTGTAGTAAAAGCAAACAGTATTATGACATTGACCGTTAAAATGTCATGTAGAACTAAAAAAATAAAACAAAATCTTATTTTCTCCCATTTTTTTTATATTAAATTATGTTTCATAGCTAAATATTTGATATTAAATGAAAGCCCTGTTTCCCCTGAATAAAATGATATATAATAAGGGTGGGTGTACTTAATATAAAAGAGGTGTATTACGGTTGGATAGACATGTAGCGCAAATGCCAGGTTTTGTTTACATTTTGTTTCGTTCACAATGCGTACATTTGGCTCCGTCCTTAAGGGGTTAAATATAGTCTCCTCCTTTAAAGTGTTGATTCCCTTTATATATTTAAATGTTTCTATCATATCCCTCCTGTCTTGTCTTTCCTCCCAGCTATACATGTTAAGATCCTTTAACCTTTCCTGGTAAGGTTTATCCCGCAATCCATGAACCAGTTTAGTAGCCCTTCTCTGAACTGGTTCATGGATTGCAGGATAAAACAACCACATTGGAAATTTCATTACAAGTATTCGCTCCTGTTAGCTAATTAGAGAGATAATTATCTAATACTAAAATAATGTGTTTATGTTTTATTTCAGGATGACTGCTCATGGTTCAGTTAATATATGTAAGTGATACAATACTTGAGAACATTGAATCTTAGAACAAAATAAAAACCTTACAAACACACTGGTTATATGAGTGCTTCTCTTAATGTACTTTTTATTTGCTGCATTGCTTCTCTGACAAAATCTCTCCATACATTTCTTTCTATTGATACAGACAGTATTATCAATAGTTATTAAGGTGTTAGGTATTTGTATTTATTGTCATTTCTATTTGGATAATAACTTGTAGCATTATTGTGTTTCAGCCGTGCTTCACTCCAGCACTGGAGGAAAGCACAGCTCAGGAGAGAAGTCCCACGGTACTAGTGGTCAACATTACAGTGGAGGATCCAGCGCAAGCATCTCGAAAAGTAGAAACAGCTCTGGCCACGGACACCACTGCTAAAGTTCAATAGAAGCACTTCTGGGTTATTCAATAAATTTGAGTTTAACATTTTTAACCAAAAAAGACTACATTTTAAATATTCTCAACTATGATTTGGATTTATCTATTTCTTTGTAATCTAAAATTTGAAATGATCTTTGAATTCACTTTTAATTCCCCCCCAAAAAAATCACACTTCAGTGAATAACCCTGATAGAAATTGCCAGTGAGATAGCTCAGTGGGCTAATGCATCATCAGTAGAATCTGTTCAACCCAGTAGGGTTGACTCAGCCCTTCATCCTTCCGAGGTAGATAAAATGAGTATCATTAAATTGGGTAATAGTAACAACCCCTGGATGTTGGGCTATGGTTATATCCCCAAGACGTACTTGAAAACTATAGTAATCTGAATGTGCCTTTCCTGGTTAAATACTTTGTTATTATTATTATTATTAAAATGCTAAAATAAAAGCATAGATTTTAGTGAAAGCACTAATTTTGATTTTAAGGTGCATTTATTGCTTAATTTTCTTGCAGTTCAAACATATTATGCAACTTCCTTTCTGTTTAATTGTCTTTATATCGTTTAAATACAATAATCACTTGTTTCTTATCTGTAATGTGTCCATGCAATAAAACTTTACACTTTGAACAATCTTATTAATGTTTTTATTATTTTCCTTAACCCCTTCCCGACCGCAGACGGAAATTTTCCGTCAACCTTGTCCTTCAGTTAAGGACCGTTGATGGAAAATTTCCGTCATTTACTAAAGTCAACCCCAGATTGCCGTGATGTCAGAGCGAGCACATATACTCACCTTCCGCCTCCCTGCACTTTCGGGTTCTGTGTGAAGTGCTGCTGATCTTCTCCCTGTGTAAAAAAAAATAAATAAAGTTAAATCCCACCCCCCCCTTGCCCTGCTTTAATAAAATTAACCCCTTCCCTGCCAATTGATCACTTACAGTGATCAATTGGCAGGGTATACATTTTAATGTCATCTGATTTTTTTTTAACCCCTGAGGGTTAATATTTTTTTTAACCCTGAGGGGTTAAATTTATTTTATTAATTAATTTAAATATTAAAAAATTATATATTTAGCTAGCTGGGATGGGTGGAAGTTAGTGGGGAATTGGGGAATTTGGTGTTTGGCTAACTAGGGGTTAACGTTAAAAAAGTTTTAAAATAAGCTTTAAAAAGGTAAATAAAAGTTTTAAAAAATGTTTTAGTAACATTTAAGTAAAAAAAAAAAATACCACACCCTTTACCCAGTCTATATAAAAATTAACCCCTTCCCTGCCAGTTGATCACTGCCTACAGTGATCAAAATACAGATCACAGTATTATACTGTTGTCTAATTTCTTTTGACCCCTGAAGATTAACTTTTATTTATTTTTTAACCCTCAGGGGTTCAATTTATTTAATTAATTTAAATATTTTATAATTATATATATTGTGCTAGCTGGAGTGGGTGGGAGTTATGGCAAAGGGGGGGATTTACTGTTAGTGCTGCTTACTGCTAGTTAGGGGTTAACGATAAAAGAAAAGTTTAGAAAAAAATTTAAAAGTGTAAAAAAGTTAAGAAAGTGTAAAACATTTAATAAGTAAAACAAAAAGTTTAGAAACGGGTTTTACAAAGTAAAAAAAGTTTAAAAACGGGTTTTAAAAAGTAAAATAAGTTTTACAAAGTAAAAAAATACATTAAAATATGCTCATTACCACTACACTTGGTACAAGCTAGTGAAAAAATTATCCCACGCTAAGGTTCAAAATATGCCTTTTGAATTACCCTGGGATGTCTTTTTTAAGAAATGGTATGCATTTATGGTGTAATTGGATTATATAGCCTTGTAAAATACTCTAAAATGGGACATGGACACAGCGTAAAAATTAAAACTTTGAAAAAACTGGAATGGCTGTGTCTCAAATGTGCCCCTTCTATGTCCACATATACCTGGCAAAGGTACAAACGGGGTATTGCTGTACTCAGCCGACATAGCTGAGCAACATATGAAGTATTATACAGTCGTAGCACACATAAGGTTTGCAAAATATACTGTACAAACTCACTTTGTGTGTCAAAAAGGCAGAAAAAATACTTATTACCACTACACTTGGTACAAGCTAGTGGAAAAATAATCCCACGGTAAGGTTCAAAATAGGCCTTTTGAATTCCCTTGGGATGTCTTCTTTAATAAATGGTATGCCTTTAAGGGTTAATTGGATTATATAGCCTTGTAAATTACTCTAAAATGGGACATGGACACAGCGTAAAAATTCAAAGTTTGAAAAAAACTGGAATGGCTGTGTCCCAAATGTGCCCCTCCGACGTCCACATATAGCAGGCAAAGGTACATACGGGGGTATTGCTGTACTCAGATAGCTGAGCAACATATGAAGTATTATACAGTCGTAGCACACATACAATTTGCAAAATATACTGTGCAAACTCACTTTGTGTGTCAAAAAGGCAAAAAAACGCTTATTACCACTACAATTGGTACAAGCTAGCGGAAAAATTATCCCACGCTAATGTTCAAAATATGCCTTTTTAAATACCCTGTGTGACGAAGTGCCCTTCGCCACTTGTGCCTGGAGAGGACTGCTTGCCCGCCTCTTGCCCTGTGACTATGGCCCCTGGGATGTATTGCCCTTTAAAGACATGATTTGGGCATAATGGATTTGTGTTGTGCTGCTGCTGGCCCTTTAAGAACCATTTGGGGACATACTGTGGAGTTACTGGGTGGCCACCATTTCCTGTATCAGAAGCACATGGTGAGAACAATGGATGGCGGCCATTTTAACTCACAGACACTGTTTGGACTTTTCAACACGGTGCCATCTTGCCAGTATTTGGTGCACAGAGACATCGTGCAGTGGTTTTGGACTATACAGCAGGGGACACATTATAAAGTGATTGTTTTTCATTTAGCCTGTATATGTTCTGCAGAATCTGCATTAAACTGTATTTTCCAAAGTACTGAACGGATCTGGGTGAATTTTGGATATGTGGTTCAACCAGATCCCCCGGTTCCAAGGATATTTTTACTTTTTATGGGGTTATTGCATGTTTTGGGGTCCCTGTGTGTTTTATGAAACTGTATTATTTCTGGCCAGCAGATAATTGAGCTTTGTGTATTGTAGAAACTCAATTATCTAGCCTGGCCCAGAGGAGGAGTTTTGTGTTGCATAAATTGTGAGTTCTGTGTGCCAGTAAATTAGTCTTGTTCCAGCATTAAGCCTTGGCTCATGTTTGGGGGAAGGGATACCTACACTCTGGGGATTGCTATAATCACTTACTCCCCAGAGGAATCTCTTGCAATAGCTTGATTTGTTCCTGTTCCTGCTCTCTGGGGTAAGAGAGGTTCACCCACTGGAAGCTGGATCCTGGCCTTGGGTCCAGGGTGGGTGGAAACAGCAGAGACCCCGGCGCAGTTGCATCGCTGGAAGTGGGGTCTGCAGTGCTGATGGTGTCTGTTGGAGTGCTTGGAGTCCTCAGCGAGCACTAGGAGCATCGATTGGCGGAGGTACTCAGTCGGAGTGCCAGCGTTCCGTCACACCCTGGGATGTGTTCTTTAAGAAATTGTATGCCTTTATGGTGTAGTTGTAATATGTAGCCTACTCAAGTGCTCCAAAGTGGGACACGGACGCATCAAAACCCTCCATGAAAATTCACACTTAAAATCCTTAACTTGTCACGTCTCTTTTACAGCAGTGTAACTTCACAAAATAGTGTCTAGGTCATACATTGGGCATATTGGTTTACTCAGAAGACTTAGCTGAGCATAATTTGGGGGGTTTGAACTTAGTGGCACATATGAAATGTACAAAATGCCCAGCAAAATTATTTTTTACCACGTACTTTGGCATAAATTGGTGAAAAAATGGGGGCATGTTAAGGCACAATATGCACCATATGAAATACCCTGGAGTGTCTACTTTTACAAATGGTAGGCCTTTGTGGGTTTTTTTTGAACAGTCAAACTGCTATAATACCCCAAATTGAAGCATAGGCCCATTGAATCCGCCTCTCAAAATTCTACTGTAAATGTTGAAACGGACAGGTCTCCTATATGGCACTGTAGCTTCACGAAATAGTGCCAAAGACATACAATCGGGGTATTGTTGTACTCAGCAGAAGTAACTGAACACAAAATAAAACTTTGTACAGGAATAGCACACACCAACTTTACAAAATACACATGAGAAGTTCTTTGTTATAAGTTTGTGTGTCAAAAACCCCAAAAAACTAAATTTTACTTCAATATTTAGCAGAGATTGGCGGTGAAATGGATATGTAGAAAGTGTCAAAACAACCTTAGGACAATAGCTTGTGATGTCTACTTTATATAAATATATACTTTTGTGTGGCAATTTTGTTTTCTTTTATGGCTATTAAGCTTACAATACAAACATACCAAATTCTAAAAATCGCTCCACATTAAAAGTTTATTTTACTCCTTGTGCTTTGTGACCTGTAACTACCAAAAGAAACTTAAAATCCCAGACACATTATATATTCTGTAAATCAGAACAACTAAATTAATTTATTTTTAATTACTTTCTTTAACCTGCACTAATTAGGCACACATTATTATTGCAAAAATTGCACAAAAAAACACAATTTGTTTCTTTTGTTTTGCATTTTTCTGTATTTTTTTTATAATAAATAAGCATTTATATATATGACGTTGTGGCAGGCTTATGCAATGTATGATCATATTATGTAACTAAACCCCCATTATTTTTGCCTAGATTAGGTGTTTTAAAAAAAACAAATAAAATCTTTCAACATTGAAGTTGCTGTTTAGTGGATAGGTGAGTGCGCTGGATCTTGTGTATTGTATATATATATATATATATATGTTACATCAAATTAAAGCCCTTTCTGCCCCTTTAAAAAACTATATAATATGTGCCGGTGCAATAAACGAGAGAGATGCAAATTGCAGTTGAACTCATACAGCAAGAAAATGCAAAAATTGCTTGTGTCAATAAGTGTAAGACAAGCTTCTGAAGC